GGGAAACAGAGTTCAGGGGAGGAGAGCAGGGGGATTGGGACCTAGAATACTGTTCCTGAGGGAAGAGACATTAAGAACCAAAATTCTCAGATCCTGAGGAGGGAAGGCTGGGGCCCTGAACTCCTGGATTTGGGGGAAAGAATAAACCAAGAATCTGGACTTCAGTGTCTTCGAAGGCAGGGTTGCCAGATGTAGGAAATAAAAATACAGGCCTTTTCATTAAATTTGAATTTCAGATAAATAATGAATGCTTTTTAGTATAAGCATATCTCAAGCAATATTTGGGACATGTTAGTTGCCATTCAGTTGTGTCTGACTCACAGACACCCGATGTATAACATTGTCCGAGCTGCATTGGCTTCATGTTGTTGTTGTTGTTGTTATTGTTGTTGTTAGGTGCCATTGAGTCAGTACCGACTCATAGTGACCTTATGCACAGCAGAATGAAACACTGCCTGATCCTGGGCCAACGTCACTATTGTTGCCATGCTTCAGCCCATTGATGCTGCCACTTTGCCAATCCATCTCACTGGCCACCCGTCTGTCAGTTTGTCGTACTGTGGTGGCTTGTGAGTTGCTATGATTCTGGAAAGTAGACCATGGGTATTTTAAATACCAGCAGGGTCACCCATGGTGGACAGGTTTCAGATGAGCTTCCAGACGAAGACAGACTAGGAAGAAGGAGGGATGAACTACTGCCAAATATTTAGTCACTAAAAACCTTATGAATAGCAGAGAAACACCGGCTTCATGATCTTCAGTATATTTCAGTCCATTGTTGTTATCTTGTCTCCCCACCTCACTGAGGGTCTTCCTCATATCCAGTGACCCTCTACATTACCAAACATGATGTCCTTTCCTATGGAGTCCTGGTGTAGCGCTGTTGGATAAGCACTGGATCGAAAAGTTGGTTTGAACTGCAAGGTCAGAGGTTCAAATCCACCAGCTACTCCTCGTAAATCAGTCACTATGAGTCAGAACCGACTCAACAAACACGAATCAACAACAGTCTTTCTTGATGATATCCCCAAAGTAAATAAGTTGAAGTCTCACACCCTCCCTTCTAAGATATATTCTGTATTTGTTGGACATGTGATCAGGAGAGACCCATCTCTGGAGAAGGACATCATGCTTGGTAAAGTGGAGGGTCAGTGGAAAAGAGAAAGACTCACCCAACAAGATGGACAGGAGCACTGGACTCAAATGTAACAATTGTGAGGATGGCTCAGGATCAGGTAGTATTTCGTTTTGCTGTACATAAGGTCACTATGAGTCAGAACCAACTCAATGGCGCATAACAACAACACTTGGTTTTAAAACTGATTTGTTTGATGGGGGTGGGGGAGCTACAAAGGCAAGAAGTAACTGGTTTACAAGCTTTCAAGAGGGAACCTAGAGCCAGGGGGCCTGGAGGAAGGCAGAATCTCCAGTAAGTAGTATCCAATCTGTCTAGGCGGAGCTGATAAAATGAAATGCAGATGGGTCTCTTGTGATACAACAGTGAAGAATTGTTATCAGGACTGATTGTGAGGGTTGGAAATGTAAAGGTAGACGTTTTATAACAAGGAAGGGAGTGATTAACTTTCCAGACTAGGAGCAGAGGTCCCTAGGACCATCAACGGAGAAGAGCCGAGAGCGGGACCCTACCCAGAGAAAAAATGATGCCTGAGATGGAGGCAGAGACAATGACGTGGAGCGATGGAGCAGATGGGGACTTTAGAGAGGGAGATTGACTGCGTGCTGAAGACCTGGGGGGTACGGGGAAGGATTGCATCAAACCCTTTGGTTGGTTGATGATGCATGGAGGGGATTGTAACCATGACAATGAAACCATATACAATAAAACATTAAAAAAAAGAACTGATTTGTTTGTTCTCTTTGCAGTCCACAGTATATTCACTATTGTTTGCCAAGGCTACAGTTTGAAGATACTGATTCCTAATAGTCTAAGTGTGGGGGACATACTTAATACTAAAAAGTATTTGTTGTTCATCTGAAATTCAAATTTAACTGGCATCCTGGATTATATCTGGAAGCCTTATGTGAAAGGGATGGAGCTAGGTGCCAGTTCCTTCTTAGCACCCCCAGGCCTCTCTTCTTCCTGCTCGTGCCCTCCTCCCACCCCCAAGTTGGCCACCTCACAGCTTCCCCAGTCCCGATTTCCTCATCCACTATGAGTTGCTGTATGTAATTGGGGCCCCCAGGCTGTGTCAGGAAGGGCAGAAGAAATCTGAAGACAACTCAAGTTGTCATCCCGGAGCCTTGGGGATATCTGACCCTGAGTCACTCCCATAGGATGGTTGTTTGGGGGGAGGGGAGAGGGAGAGGATGGGGATCTTGTGGCTGCCTCCACAGGACAAACCTGGAGATGGAGACAGATACAGAGATAAGGAGAAACTCCAGGATCAGGATACAGAGACATAAAAAGATAGAGACCTAGAGATTTGGAAGCAGATTTGCAGAGATGAGGAGAGAGAGAGAAAAGATGCAGAGACACAGAGATGGAGAGACAGGGACACAGGAAAGAAATACAGAGATATGCTCCTCAGACATTCAGGCTCCTGGACCACAGATGGAGACCTGCAGGCAAGAGGTCAGGCAATGCCCTCAAATCTTTGTGAAGGCAAATGAGCCATCTGGGTGGTGCTGGGAGACCAAGGCTTGAGTCCTGGGGTGGGAGGGAAGGGCTGGAGAGAAGCTGGGCTCCCAGGCCAGCAGAGTGACCCGCCTGCCACCACCTCATCTCCATACCCAGTGAGGTGATGACACTACCTTGTCTGCAGGTGACACCCCACTTTTCTGGTGCCTCCTACATTTTTTGGGGTGACACCCGTGCAAAGAACCCCACCCGGCTCTAATGCTGCTTCCCTCACTGAGTCACTTTCAATCCAGCCAAGCCTGTCTGGGGGGCAACTTTGGCAACTCAGGCATCCAAGACCCCTGGTCCTTCACCCTCTCAGGAATCCAGCCATCTGGAAATCAGGACCCTTACTCCATGTAGGAGGTCTACCTAGCCTAGCAAGAACCAAGAGTCTGAACTCGCAAATCCTCCTCCTCCTGCAGACCCAGAAGTCCGCCTAGTCCCTCCTCCCCCAGGATCCAGGAATCCAGACCCCCAGTTCTCTCCTCTTCAGGACCCAAGAGTTTCACCCCACATCCACCTCCTCAGGAACCACAGGTCTTAGTTCTCAGCCTCCTCCCTTCCCAATTTGGAGGTGGAGTGAGGTGTGTTTATTTAGTTTGGCTCCAGGGTGAGTCACTCCCCCCCAAAAAACACACTGCCCCCCATGTGCCTCCCATCCATGAATGACAGGAAAATGCCCCCATCTCCCACTAAGCATGGAATCCTGGTGTGACGCTGTAGGATAAACACTGGACAGCAAGGTTAGTTTGAACCACAAGATCAGCAGTTCAAACTCACCAGCCACTCCTCAGAAACCCTAGATAGGGTCGCTATGAGTCGGGACAACTAGATGGCATTTAACAAGAACCCACTAGGCATGCTGGCGGGTAGGGGGCTGCTTACGCCCCACTCAGCCATCTTCTCATCCTTTCTCTCTCTGCTCTCCCTTCTTCCCGCTACCCTCTAAGCCTTGGCTGTGGTTGAGCCCACCTGTCTCTCAGTCTTTATGTCTCTTTTCTCCTCATTTGTCTCCCCCTTGCTAGTTACTTCTCCCAGACCTTTGTGCCTCCCTATCTCTTGACATCTCTTCCACCATCTCGTTTTCCCTCTCTTCCAGTATCCCTGAATCACCTCATCTCTCTCTCCCAGTCCCTCCTCATTCCTCTTACTTTCCATAGTTTTTTGGTCTCTACTTGGATCCAGATTCCTGGTGTGGCGCTGTAGGGTCAGCACTAAATTTCCAACCACAAGATCGGCAGTTCAAACCCACCAACTGCTCATCGGAAACCCTATACAGGGTTGCTATGAGTCAGAACCTCCTCTATGGCTCTTAACAACACTTTGATCCAGCTGACCAAACCTATTTCTCTCCCCATCTCTCTGTCTCCATCTTTGCCCATTCCTCTTTCTGCTTCCACCCCCTCCCCATATTGTCTTCACCTTTGGATCCCCCACCCCCTCCGCAATCATCATCTCCTTAGGAGGGGGAAGTTGGTGGTAGGGAAAAAATGAGGAGTGCAGGGGGAGGGGAAATCCCAGTCCAGGGAAGAGGGTCAGCCAGACCGGCTGGGCTTCCTAAGCTTTTCTGTCAGAGCTCCGCCCAGGGCCCGCCTGAATATAAGCAGCTCCTGGCTGGGAACTGAGAACTCAGAGCCAGTGTCCTCCACACCTGTCACATCATCTTTGTCTCGCACGGCAGCCCCTCAGGTAGGTGCACCCCACCCACAACCCTCTTCTCTGAGGCCAGGTACCTCTGCTCTGTTCTCTCCCCATCCCACCCCACTCACATCGCTTCATCCCCTTCATGTCTCTGTCTATCTCTCTGGGCATCTCTGTCTTTCTTGATGCCCCTGTATCCCCCTTCTCAGCCTAAGAGGTGCTGGGTTTAGTTTGGAAGTCCTAGGACCCAGCAGTTCTTTACTAATTCCCTTGGCCTGAACCATCCGATGTAGAGGATTTTCCCTTCACCTCTCTGAGCCTCAGTTTTCCATCTGTGAAATGGGCTTGCAGCAGAGTCAATCAATGCTGTGCAGATGTGGGCATCACCAAAGGCATGTGGGTACCTGGCTCTGATCTCTCTCCCCTCCTTGTCTCTGTCTCTGCCTGCCTCTGCCTCTTGGTCTCTCATTCCAACTCTGCATCTGGTACAGGAGGGGCCTCTGGGTCTGTCGGGCAGCTGTCAAGAGATGGGCGAGATTCCCTCGCCCCACTCCCACTCCCCATTCCATGTCTCTCCGGACCTGCAGGTGACTTGGCCTCTTTCTCCCCAGCTCTCCTCCCCCTGAGAGCCCAGTACCTAGCCCCCAAGTCCCTTGCCCTCCCCTCCCCCAGTCTCCAGCGTCCCTTGGACAGACTCCGAAGCTATCTATCGCCGCAGCCACCTCCGCCATCCCCAACGCCACCTCCTCAGGCCCCACAAGATGCAGTTTGAGATGCACGACCGCGTGAAAGGCAAAGGTGGGATCGATCGCTGGATAGACCAGCAACCCTCCCAGTCCCCGGAACCTGGCCGCCTCCCTCCCCTGGGCACCCTCGCTGTGAAGACAGACGGCATCTCTAGAAGGCCCCCAAACGAGGGGACCCTGCACCCCAGACCCAGACGTGGAGGAGGCAGCGGCATGTTGCGGTCCTGCCCCAATCGGGCTCCCATCCTTCCCCGGAAGTGCCAGAGCCCCTTACCCCAGCCCACCCAGATGTGCAAGAGGCAGTGGCAATAGAGACAGAAGGGGGTGTCGATGGAGGAGGCGCAGTAGTGTCCTCTAAGTGGGCGGCCTGAAGGCCCCGCCCAGACTGCCCGGCAGAGGGAGGGATGCTGGAGTTAGGGGGTGCGCTGCGAGGCTGCCCGCTGACCCCCTACCCCTCGCCTCCGCAGCCATGTCCTACCCGGTGACCAGCCAGCCCCAATGCGCCAGCAGTTGCTACCAGACCCAGCTCAGCGACTGGCACACGGGTCTCACGGATTGTTGCAATGACATGCCCGTCTGTGAGTGCCCCCCGCCTCTGCTGGATCACATCCAACTCCCTCCGACGCCCTACTCTCCCTACATACTTCCCTTCTTTGAACCCCAGTTGAGTTCCCTTTTGTGAACTCCCTCAACATTCACGCCTCCCAACACTCCACTCACCCTCGAACCCACCGCATCCTCAACTTTTCTCGTGTGACCGACCCCCAACTTCCCAGCCAAACCCTTCACTTCCAATCTCTAACAGTCCCGCCCCCACCCCCAATTCCCCCATGGACCCTAACTGCTCTTTCTTCATCACTACTCGCCTTGGGTCCCAACTTGGCTCCCCGGCCCCCTCAACCTCGCCCCTCCCGGGGGGCGGAGTAGGTGGGAGGTGCCTAGTAGGGCCCGCCCCTGACCGCCTGCGCCCCGCTCCAGGTTTATGCGGCACATTTGCGCCACTGTGCCTCGCCTGCCGCATCTCGGACGATTTCGGCGAGTGCTGCTGCGCGCCCTACCTGCCCGGTGGCCTGCACTCCATCCGAACTGGGATGCGCGAGCGTTACCATATCCAGGTGGGCGCTGGAGCCCAGGCCCCCGGGAGCAGGGGGTTGGGGCCTGGACTCCTGGATCTGAGTGAGGACGGGGCTGGGAGCTGAACTCCTAGGACGCAAGACCGAGTTCCTCATTCACCTCTCTCTCCCACCCCTCAGGGCTCCGTCGGGAACGACTGGGCGGCCCTCACGTTTTGTCTGCCCTGCGCCCTCTGCCAGATGGCGCGGGAACTGAAGATCCGGCAGTGAAAGTGTTGCCCACCCTCCCCATCCATGCCCACCGGTCCCACCCGGCCTCCTCTGCCCCCTCCTGGGAGGGTCTAACCCTCCGTCCCTGGCCCGCAACCAGAAATACACCCACAATAAAAACCTGAAAACCAACTCCGCCTACATTCTTTTTATTCCAGGAAAGGAATCCAGATGGAGAGGGAGGTTTGGTGAGCGAGGTGAGAGCACAGGAAAGATCCCTTAGATGGCCCTCAGAGGTTGGACCTTTGAATCCAAAAGGCTGAGTATGACCTTAGCAAGATCCCTCCCTCTCTAAACCCAAGGGTTCTCACCTAAACCAAAAAGAAACGAAACCCAGTACCTTCGAGTCAAGTCCAATTCATAGTTACTGTATAGGTCAGGATAGATCTACCTGGCCCGCTGTAAGTCTACATGGCTGGGGAGAGCCACATCTTTCTCCCACAGAGAGAGGCTGGTGGGTTCAAACCACAATCTTTCAGTTAGCAGTTCGGCTTTTTAGCTACCGGGGCTCAAAATAAAATCACTAACCCTCAGCTGCAGCCAGGACCCCTGCCTGGGACCTGGAAATAAGCAAAGCTAGACCTATAATCTTGGCAGAGGACAGACGCTGAAGTTCACAAGAAAAATCTAGGAGAGACCCCCTGCTCATTCAATACCTATGAACTCTTGGTTTACCCACAATTCAAACAGGTTTGGGGACTTTGTTTGTGAAGCAGAGAAAAGTCCAGTTTAAAACTCTTTCATACGGAAAGGCATCTTTAGGATAATTCCTTCAATCCACCCTCTGTATTGCAAAGGTAACTAGTTAAATTAAGGAGCCCCAGTGACTCTGTAGGATAGGCACTGGACTGTTAACCACAAGGTCAGCAGTTCAAACCCACCTTGGCAGAAAGAAGAGGTTTTCTGCTTCTGTAAAGATTTACGGACTCAGAAACCCTATACAGGGTGGCTATGAGTCAAAACAGACTTGATGGCACACAACAGCTAGTAGATTAGAAATTGTTGAAGTCTCAAAACTGGACAGATCTGGGATCCAATCCTGACCATTGCCACTTACTCATACTCATACTTACTGTGTTCTCTTAATGAATTAATAAATTTTTCTGAGGCCATTTCTTCCTTTGTGAGGATTGTTGTTGTTGTTGTTATATGCCATCCAGTCGGTTCCGACCCATAGCGACCCTGTACAGGGTTTCCGAGGGTATAAATCTTTCAACCCTAATATGTTGCTACTGTGAGAGGCGAGCAAGAGAGGAACAGATGAAAAGGTTAAAGTGTGGCCTCAATAAAACATTTCTAATATTCCTATTATATATAACGACATAAGTCCTATAATTTTGTTGTTGTTAAGTGCTGTGGAGTCAGTTCTGACTCAGAGCAACCCTATATAGGGTTTCCGAGGAACAGCTGGTGGATTTGAACTGCCAACCTTGCGGTTCAAACCAACTTTGCAGTTTAAGGTTGTAATCTACTCAGAGGTATCTTAGAATGCTTGATGATCTACTTGCAAACAAAAAACTCAGCCATTGAAAACCCTATAGAATATGTGGGCCCACCATGAGTTGGGGTCAACTTGACAATAACTTGTACTGGTGCTAGATATTCCAAATGAAGAGGTGACCCAATGGTTGGATGAAAACATCAAGACAGAACATACACAGAGAGAAGTAACAATAGCAAATGAAAGTATTAATGATATATTGTTATTGTCATAATAACACTATCAATAACATGTTATAATTTTAGCATATTAACATTAATAATATGTTATGATTTCAGTATATTATTAACTAAATCAGAGCATATAACTAATACTGTTATTTGCTATTGTTTTTCTCCCTCTGTGTGTTAACACACATCCAATCATTGAGTGACCTTTTCACTTGGAATCCCTAACACCAGTACAAGTTACTGTCAGGATGACTCCACCTCATGGTATTCCACAACGTATTCCACAATGTTTTCAATGGCTTTTTTTTTTTTCAGTAAATGACCAGGCCTTCCTTCCAAGATGCCTCTGAGTGGATTTGAATCTTCAACCTTTTGGTTAGTGGCTGAGTGGATTAACTATTTTTAACACTCATGGACTCCAAAATGTTGGTGTTAGGTGCTATTGAGTCCATTGTGACTCATAGCGACCCTGTGCACAACAGAACGAAGTACTGCCAGATACTGCTCCATCCTCACAATTGTTAACACTTGAGCCCATTGTGGCTGCCACTGTGCCAATCTGTCACGTTGGAGGTCTTCCTCTTTTTTGCTGACCCTCCACTTTATTGTTGTTGTTATGTGCCGTCGAGTTGATTCCGACCCATAGCAACCCTGTATAGGGTTTCCAAGGAGCAGCTGGTGAGCTTGAACCACTGAACTTGCAGTTCAAATGACTTTGCAGTCCGACGCATTAGCCCACAGTGCCACACCAGGACTCCGACCCTCCACTTTACCAAGAATGATATCTTTCTCCAGGGACTGTTTCTTCCTGATAATATGTCCATAGTATGAGAGATGAAGTCTGGCCATCCTGGCTTCTAAGGAGCATTCTGGCTGTACTTTCAACAACAGATTTTTCTGTTCTTCTACTTTACCATGGTACTTTTAATATTCTCCTCCAGCACCTTAACTCAAATGCATCAATTCTTTTATGGTCTTCTTTATTCATTCATTGTTCAACTTTCACATGCATGTGAGCTTACTAAAAATATCATGTCTTGGGTCAGGTGCACGTCAACACTCAAACTGACATCTTTCCTCTTAAACACTTTAAGGAGGTCTTGTGCAGCACATTTGCCCTAATGCAATACATTGTTTGATTTCTCGACTGATGTCTCCATGAGTGTCAATTGTGAATCCAAGCAAAATAAAGTCTTCCATCTTTTCTCCTTTCAAACATGATGTTATTTATTGAACCAGTTGTAACGTTTTTTGTTTTCTTTACATTGACGGGCAACCCATAATGAAGGCATTGGTCTGTGATCTAATATCTAATAGTCATCTCAAACTTTTTAACACATTGAAACCTAACTCCTGATTTGCCCCAACCCTACTCTTACCACAGTCTTCCCCATCTAAGGAAGGAGTAAATCCCATCCTTCCAGCTGTTTCATACTTACTCTCTCACCCAACATCCAGTTTATCAGCAAATTCAGATTCTTCAGAATAGATCAAAAATCTCACTTCTCTTCCTCCACCCCACTGTCCCATCCTGGTCTAGCCACCCACCTCTATAATCTGCATGGATGCAGTGATCTCGTGGGGCTCCCCATCTCTACCCCAGACCCTTCAGTCTCTTCCCCACAAAGAGCAAGGGGGACACTGTGAACACCTAAGTCAGGTCATGGCCCTGCTCTGTTCAGAACCCTCTCACAGTCTGAGAAGAAGCCAGTGTGCACCTTGGCCCAAGGCCCCACATGATCTGCCTCTGGTTCCTTCTCTTAACTTTCTCATCCCTGTCTCTCCCTTTTCCCCTGACTCCCTACTTTACCAAGCATGATGTCCTTTAGGGACCACCCTTCCACCCCCTCACTGCCTTTTCTAGTCACTTTTCAACACACCACATCATTCATTTATTGGGTACCTCAGTAATGCGTCAGCTCCTCGAGGGCTGAGCCAGCAGTACTTAGAAGAGTGGGAAGCTCAGTACAGGCAGAGAGAATGAGCGATTACTGGTGATGCTAGTTCTCCTGACATGGAGGAGAGACACTGGCTTAGAGAAGGGAATTGTTTGGGAGGTGATGTGGGACAATGGAAAGGCAGACAGATAGACAGGTGTCAGAATCCAGACTTGACTTCACTTCTCCAAATCTTAGCTTCTGAATCTGTCAAATGGAAGAAAGAACCTGTATTCCCAGCAAGGATACCAAGCACCTAGGAGATAGTTCCTGAGGTGTTGTGGACCCTCCGTGACCTGCCCCCACTTTCCCTGAGGTCCTCAGTGTGTCAGTGGCCTGGCATGAGTAAAACTCAGGTTCCTAGCTCCCTGAACCCAGGCTTTCTACCCCACCTGAGACTTTGGCATTTTTGTTGTTGTTGTATGCCACCAAGTCAGTTCCAACTCATAGCAACCCTGCATAGGAGTTCCAAGGAACAGGTTAGCAATCCAGTGCTTATCCTAGTGGTGTCACACCAGGATTCCTCTTGCATTTAGGTCCAGGAATCCCAGAGAAGTGCCAGCAGAGAGGCTACATGGAGGGAGGAGGGACATGGGTTCCAGGGGCATTTGGTGTAGGATCATTTGCAGAGCACAAGGTCCAGGCACGGCACAGATGCTCTGCATAGGAAAGTAAGCAGAGTCCCTGCTAAGAAAAGGCTTCCCCAAAGGTCATAGCACAGAGTCTCTAAGAAACTCAGCTCCTTTCTGGTCAACTGGGATGGACTCTCCTCTGGTCTTGGGACTCCTTTTGCTGTTGGTTCACTCCCCAGTTGTTGGTGGTGGTTGCTAAGTGCCATGGAGCCGGTTCCACCTCATAGCAATCCTTCTGAAGAAGCTGCTGGTGGGTCTGAACTCCAGCCTTGTGGTTGGCAGTCAGTGCACCACCCCAGTTTAGTAACTCTGCTTTATCTCCAAGCAGCAACTGACCATTTTTCAACATCCTGCACTGTGGTGGGACAACTCTCAGCTACTTATGTTGCCCTGTGCTGAGTAAAGGTTTTTTTCCTCAGGAGGGAGAGTCTGGGGGCTGCAAATGGTTATCGTGCTCCATTGCCAACTGAAAGGTTGGAGGTTTGAGCCCACCCAGAGGCTCCTCAGAATTGATATCTTGAAAAAAATAATAAATCAAGCCATTGAAAATCCATGCAGTAAGCCGTTGTTGTTGTTATGTGCTGTGGAGTCAGTTCCGACTCATAGTGACCCTGTACAGGGTTTCCGAGGCTGTAAATCTTTACAGGAGCAGAAAGCCTCATCTTTCTCCCGCGGAACAGCTGGTAGTTTCGAACTCCTGACCTTGTGGTTTGCAGCCCGATTCATAACCACTACGTTGCACTGGTAACTGCTGTGTGACGCATTTACAAGAAGAGCAGCTGCCGACTCCACTAACAAACAAGCAAACGCCTCCTAGGATTTGGTTTCTTGGTTTGCAGGTTTAGGGTCATGGTTTTATGGGGCATCCGTTATTTGGTCTAATAACATAGTTCCTGGTGTAGCACCCAGGGTCTTCAAAGCTCTATTTGCCTGAAGCCATAAAGGAGGAGTCAGTAATAGGAGGATGGTATAGAACATGTGGTTGAATGCCACCATGAACCTATCTACCTCCTTTGTCATGAGACCAAAAGTGGATGGTGCCTAGCTACCCTTATTGGACATTCTGATCAAAGAATCTATAGAAGAATCCTGACCCACAGGGGGAAATTGCAGAGTAGAATTTCAGATTCTCTTGGAATCCAGACTTTCTGGAGCCATGGAGACTAGATGAACCCCTGAAACTCTTGCCCTGAGGTTAGCTTTCAACCTTAAACCAAAAATACCCTCTGAAGTCTTCTTAAAAACCCAACAGTGGTTTTGTTTCACTAGTGAAGAATGTTAGCCTTGAGCACTGTACTCATCTAAGAACTCTCCACGTGGGACCCAAGGGACAACAGCAGTTTGAGAGATTAGATAAGGAAACTTAGGGGAGGTGAGATAGTTGCACAACTTGAAGAATGTACTCAGTGTTGCTGGACTGCAAACGGAGACACTTGGTTTGTTCTGCTGTGAATGTTCTCGAAAGGAAACTCGCTGGAATGCAATTCTTACTCTGACACACGTGGGGTTGCTACGAGTTAGAGCTGGCTCTACACCAATTGTTTTTGTCCCCTCAGGAGCCAAAATAGCCTGGGAGTCAGGTACATCGATTTGAGATGTTAGACAGCCTGGGTTCAAACAGCATCTGCCATCCAACAGCTACATGGCATCTATGAACGTCCATATGTAAAACAAGGATCACACAGCTCTGCGGGAAAAGATAGCATTAATCCATGGCAGTAAAACGCCAAGCAAATTGCTTAGACAGGGTACTCAGTGAATTCCGTCTTGGAGATCACAGAAGTCATGCATGGTAAAGCAATCCTTGTACTTGTCTGCCTGGGATTAAGGCAGTCTATCTTTCCTCTTGAGACACAAGGGCCCTCAGGAAAGGGTCCCTACTGCCACATTGCCCCTCTTCTGATCCCTTCTGGAGAACAAGAGCTTCTGTGGTGGCACCAGGCCCTCCCTGGCTCTGAAGGGGTCATGAAGAGGTAGACTCAGGTCTTGTGGTTTGGAGAGAACCAGGCCAACAGCACTTACCCAGACAAGACAGCCAACCGCCCCTCCGGCTCACACACGCAGACTTGGACATCTGGGTCTTCCCCACACTTTTATTTGCTGGTCCCACACCCCTCTCCTCTTCAGGCACACCCATCCAGCCACCCACATGCTCATGTGGAGAGGCTGCCCCATAAGCAGGGCTAGAGGCCCCCAGCTGAGGGGAGGTGCTGGATCCAGCTTCGCCAAAGTAGCTGGGGGTGGAGTCTTGGAAGAGGAGTGCCCAGTTCAAGATGGCTAGGTTTTTGGTTTTGTTTTGCTTTTGGGGGAGGGTCCTCACTGGAGGGGGGAAGCTCAGCAGTCCAAGGAGATGGCAGATACCTTGGGCAGAGGCCAACAGTCTTGGAGGCAGCACTGAGATGTTGATGAAGCTCCAACCTTGCTGCTTCTCACCACCTGGGGTGGCACCTCTTGACTGTTTTTGTCTCCTTGTCCTAAGATTCCCACCCACTCTGGTCAGGCACCTGTTGTTCTAACTTCCTCAGGAGACCCTGGCCCCTGGGCTGCAATACCACTGCCACTGTTTCATCCCTGCAGCCTGGAGGTGGCACCATCGGCTGCCTGCTCCTCCTCACCTCTGGGCAGTCTCTCTGCAACCCCTTCCCTCACCAGTGCCACCAATTGCCTGCACTCAATTCCTTCTGCTCAAATACTACAAGCAGTTGAGTTCCCTGGTTGGACCTGACTGAAGAGTCATTTAAAGATCTCCTGTCTAAAATTGGATTGTTGGTCTTCCCCTCAAGCCCCAGTATTCATCATCTCAATAAATAACCCCACCATCCATCCAGGATTCAGACCACAAGGTTGGGGGTCATCTGGACCCCCACCCCATCCCATCCTTCCGTCCAGTGCTCACGCTGCCTCCGGTCCTGGTCCTGACCCCTCCCCTCACTGCCATCACCTCCCTTGCTTGTCCCACTGCTGGCTCTCTTCTGTCCCCTGCAGCCTACTTTCCATACCAAAGTGCCCAGTTACACACAGGTTGGATCCTGCCACTCCTACTCAAAACTCTGTCCAACTTCCCATTGCCCTGAGAATAAAGCCCCAAACTATCTGGGGCTCACAGTCTCCACCTATCATCAATTTCATCTCCTGACACTCAGTCAGATTATGTGGAACAAATGTTCTGGTCCTTCTAATGCCAACAGGCTAGTTTCCACCTCAGGGTCTTTACCCTTGCTGCGTCCTGTCTGGAAACTGTTTTTCCCAAGGCTGGTTCCGCCTCAGAATTTCAGTATAACTTCTCTGAGTACGACAGCGCTGTGGCTGCCGACTACCCCATCATGTTGCTGTTCCCAGTGTTTTTCCTTCTCTGAAATGAGCTTACGCACTGATCTGTGTGTGCTGATTGTCTCCCTTCACTAACACATATGTGCCAGGAAATCAGGAACCTTGGCTAACTGGGCTCCTGCTTTGCTCCATGCCTACAAGTGCCTGGCACATAGTAGGTGCTTAATAAATTATCACTGAATGCAGAACGATAGAAGCCCTGTCTGGGAACCCGTAGGGGAAAAGGGAGCCAGAAGTCTCTGAGGAGAGTGTCCAGGGGGAAGGGCCCAGGGAGAAGGGCCCCAAGTCTAGGGCAGCCCCATCAAGAGACTGGGCCACTGTGGCTGAGACCCTGCAGTGAGTCAGAGGGACATGCTGGTGAGGTTGTCCTGGCTCAACAGTCCCTTCCGGCCTGCACCAGACCCATGCCCACTGCCCCCAGCACCCCCACCACCTCCACAGTACTCATGCAGCCTGTGCCGAAGTGTGACCAGGGCTGAGCCGAGGCAGGCGCCATTGGGTGCATGGGGCCCACCAGGGAGCTGGAGTAGCAGCGTGGCCACGCCCGCCATGCCATCTTCGGTGGGTTCCAGGGTAATGGGACCAGCTCTCAGGCCAGCTGTAGTGGTGGGCAAGGCCGGCGGGCAGCAGCCCCCTCCCACCGGTCCCCAGGGCCCACTGGCTCCAGTCAGCAGCAGAGGTGCCAGGAAGGGTTCTGAGCGGCGGAAGGTGGGTGGTGGGAGTCCCGCCGGTTTCCAGGCAGGGGCTGAGGCAGCGGGGTCTGGTGGGAAGCAGACCGTGACTTTGGCAAAGGGGCGGCTGGCCATCTTGGTCATTTCCTGCAGGTGCCGGCGCTGTTCCTGCCGCTGGTCCAGGGCCTGCTTGGCCTTCCAGAGGAGCACACAGAGTGAGAGGAAGAGGAAGAAGCAGGAGAAGAAGACGGAGAAGAAGACAAACAAATCAATGTGGGCCTGGTCCTGCCGGAAGAAGAGCAGGCCCTGCGAGTCAGCGGAGCCATTGGCTCCGGGCCCACTTGGGTCTCCCACGCCCAGCAGGAGCAGGTAGAAGCGGCTCGACTTGAGGGCGTGGTGCTCGTGCGGGTAGGTGATGACCAGCCGGTCCCGCACACCACGTACCACCAGCACTGCTGATGGCTCCGTCACGGTCACGTAGGTGATCAGGCCATGGGGCCACACCTCCCGAACCCGTGGCTCTGCTGGGGTGCCTGGCCCACTTCCAGCCCCTAGTCCCCCTGGATCCCCGGCCCCCCGGGGTCCACCATCAGCAGGGGGCAGTGGGGGTGGTGGGGGCGGGGGTGGCTGGATGTGCACAGTGTGGACACCAGTGTCGGGGGCCACACGGACCACGAAAGTGTCATAGGAGGTGGAGACATAGAGGTCCACGGCGCCAAAGGTCACATCGAGGGTGAGGCGGATATCCACGTTGGTGAACTTGGGCTGCACACCAAAGAGAACTGTGCGGCCGGGACCCAGGGCCCGGCGCTTGGGCTCATGGAAGCAATTGGTCTGGGACGTGGGGTCCAGGCAGCACTCTTGCTCCACTGAGATGAGTCGGTAGCACTGCTGACCACCCAGTGGGCTCCCATGAAACGACTCCCGGCACTTGGCGCACTGCGGACAAGAAGGAGCCGGGTTAGCCCTAGTAGGACTGACATCCTGGACCCCTTAGTGCCCGTTGTTTCCCTGTGATCCCCACGGACCTCCCTGGCACAGTGTGGACACTTTCAGGATCCTACAGTCCAGCAAAGCTTTCCCTGGGGTCAGCCCACGGATACGGTACCCTGACACAAAGCCAGGGTCTCCTGCCTCACTAGCTGTGTGACCTTGACCAGTGTGTGGCCCACACTGACATAGGTGGGGACCACAGCTTGCTCACAGGACTGGCGACATCATATGCACAGCGCTGCATGCAGGCTCAGCCCACCCTGCATCCTCCTACTAGCCGGTGGTCTCCCGTCTCAGGGCCTTTGCACAGCTGATGCCTCTGCCTACAGCGCTCCTTTCCCCACACACCCGCTTGCTTGCACCCCTAATGCCATTCAGTCTGTTACTCGGGTGTTGCCTTTGTACTGAGGCTATCCTTGGCCACAGTACCAAACATTCCGCTCCCCAACACTTCCTGGCCTGCTTGTCTCATTTTCCTCCTAACCATTTCCCACCATCTAACATCCGACACCTCTTCCTGCACGAAATTGCCTCCATGAGAACATAAATGCCTTAAGGACACATCATTTTATGTGTCTTTTGCCCTGTGGTGTCCCCAGTGTCTGACACCCAAAGACAAAAGCCCAAACCCGCTGCCGCCTGGTTGATTCCGACTCCCAGTGACCTCTAGGACTGTGCGGAGCTGCTCCTAAAGGTTCCCAATGCTGTAGACCTTCCGGGAGCAGACAGCTTCTCTTTGCTCCTGCAGAGGGACTGGTGGGTTTGAACTGCCCAATTTGGGATAACAGCCTGATGTTGAACCCACTGTGCCCCCAGGGCTCCTGTGGCATATAGTAAATGCTCAGTAAATGGATGAATGGGTAAAAGGCAGCTGTGGAAACCACTCAGGCTCTGTGGTAAGACCAGGGTTCAGCCCAGGTTACACACCTGACGGGCTGTCTGTCCTGGGGTAGGTTACCATCTGTTTCTGGGCCTCCATTTCCTCTTACAGTTGCTGTTGTTGTAAAGTGCTGTGGAGTCAGTTCTGACTCATAGAAACCCTGTATCAGGTTTCTGAGAAGCAGCTGGCGGGGTTGAACCGCTGGCCTTGAGGTTAGCAGCTTAGGGCTTATCCTACAGTGCCAGGCCAGAACTCCTTTTAATGGGTTAGTGGGTTAATGCGTTTGTGTCTCATCCAGGCCCCAGCACAATCTCCATGAGCCTTCCAGAGGCTTCCATGTCTATGCCGCCTCCTCTTCACCCACATCTCAGCTCCCAGCTCGGTGCTGCCTGGCATGAGGCAGACACTCTCTCCAGAACAGCTCCGGCTGCTATTATCATTAGAAGCTGGAGAAACTGCTGCTTCAGAGCTGCCCAAGGAGGAGGTCTGACTTCATCTCTGGTCAAAGTCTTGGGCCTTTTGTATCAAGACAGCAAAAATTCTGGTCCAGGATGGAAATTAACATTTAGGGTTTAGTATGGTCTGGTTCTATTCATCAGGTTTTCAGTGACTAAATATTCAGTAGTTCATCTCTCCTTCTCCCTAGTCTGTCTGCATCTGGAAGCTCATCTGAAACCTGTCTACAGTGGGTGACCCTGCTGGTATTTAAAATATCCATGGCATAGCTTCCAGAATCACAGCAACTCACAAGCCACCACAGTACGACAAACTGACAGACGAGATCTGTGTTGGAAAATGTGCAGCCAGAGTCCTCTTTGGAGGCCAGGATGATCAAACTTTGTCTCTCATGTTTTGGACATATTGTCAGGAGGGACCAGTCACTGGAGAAGGCTATCATGTTTGGTAAGATGGAGGGTCAGAGAAAAAGAGGAAGACCCCCAGCGAGATGGATTGGCAAAGTGGCAGCATCAATGGGCTCAAGCGTGGCAACAATTGTGAAGTTGGGCCAGGATCAGGCAGTGTTTCGTTCTGTTGTGCATGGGGTCGTTATGAGTTGGTACTGATTCAATGGCACCTAACAACAACATGGCCTGGTCCTGGGGTGGCATGTGGGATAAAGCACTGGACTGCGAGGTCGGTTTGAACACAAGGTTGGTGGTTCAAATTCACCAGCTGCTCCTTGCACTGTAGGTTAAGCACTGGACTGCTAACCACAAGGTCAGCAGTTCAAACTCACCAGCTGCTCCTTGGAAACAGGGTCGTGTGAGTTGGAACCGACTCGACAGCACTTGGGAGTAACAGCAGCCTAGCAGTGGAGTCCGGATGTGAATAAGCACTAATAGGGTCAGCACTGGACTACCTACTGCAAGGTCCAAGGTTCAAACCTCGGAAACCCTACACAGGACTGCTATGAGTTGGAACCGACTTCATGGCACTTAACAACAACAACAACAACAGTCTGGCAGTAGAAGCCCTGCTGATGCAGTGGGCTAAATTGCTAACCACGAGGTCAGCAGTTCAAGTCCACCAGTTACTCTGAGGGAGAAAGATGAGGCTGCCTGCTCCCATGAAGACTGGTGGCCTTGGAGTCCCTAAGCCGCAGTTCTAGCTTGTTCTAAGCTTGCTAAGCAGTGGGATCGTTTCCACAGCAATGGAAGGCCTGGTAGTAAAGTGCTCAGTTGCTAGTCCTTTGAAAGGTCAGTGGGAGAAAGATGTTGTTGTCTGCTTCCGTGAACATTTGCAGTCTCGGAAGCCCCGTGGAGCGGGTCCACTCTGTCCAGCAGGGTCACCGGGAGTCAGAATCGGTGTGACGGCAGTGTGTTGTTGTTTAGGGCCTGGTTGCACAGTGGGTAAAGCACTCCGTGGAGAACCAAAAAGTGGGCAATTCAAACCCACCAGCCGTTCCACTGGAGACTAATGTGGCCGTCTGCTCCCGTACTAATGTATAGCATGGGGAACCTATGGGGCAGGTCTACTCTGACCTACATGGTTGCTAGGAACCAGAGTCCATTCAGTGGCTTGGTTTCATTTTTAAGGCAAACTCTCACCATTTTGGGTAGAGTGGCACTTTTTGTAGGTGTGTGAGGTTTCTGCAGATGGGTCGGGGAGACAGAGGGGAGCAAGGGATTTTCTCTTTCCTCTGAAGCTGGAGTGGGAAGGTGGGTGGGTAGGTATGGACGTGCTCCAGGGAGGAAGTGTGAGATAGGTCCTCCGGGGAAGCAAGCCTGCAGCATGGCAGCTAGCCAGGTGGTGAAGACAGGTGCTTGAGATTCGCCCCTCGGAGCAAAGTAGGGAATTTAAATCTGGGTATTAGAACCAACATTAGATTCCCTGTTAGCCCCAAGTCATCAGTTATTGAAGAAGTTTTCTGAGAAGAATGAAACCAACACAGAGGAAAGCAGAATCAAGGTGCAGCGAGAGACAGAACTGCATGCCTCTATGTGAACCCCTGGATCCAGCCATGCCTGAAGGCAGACTCCAGACCTCAGTTCTGAGAGCCAGTAAATTGCCTTGTTTGCTAAAGCTATATGAGTTTTCTAGCATTTGCAACCTTCATTTTGTGTCTATCTGTGATGGAGTCTCCCTCTAGTCTGAGCCCCATGAGGGCAAAGGTTCGTTCGTGGATCCCAGCATCATTGATCAAAGCCTAAAACTGACCAGGGGTCAGTCTGTCATACTGACCTAAAACTGACCAGGGATCAGTCTGTCATATTGATCTAAAACTGACCAGGGGTCAGTCTGTCATATTGACCTAAAACTGACCAGGGATCAGTCTGTCATATTGGCCTTGGTCCTAAGACCACAGACATCAGAACCACATTGTACGTGCTCTCTGGGGTCCAGCCAACTCAGTCCAGTTCTGACCTCTTGGTGGTGGGGGCCCTCGGCTCATAGCTGCAGTACCTGGTACTTGTAGCAGTCCCGGCGGTCACTGGGAGAGCTGCCCTGGCACGTGCCCGTCTCTGTGTTGTTCTGACAAGGGCAGCCTGTCCCATCCTGCTCGTTACATGTGTCCGCGTGACCGTTACACTGGCATCTGGAGGAAGGGAAAATGGATGGTGGCTAGAGAGCTCTCACGACTCACAGGGACCCAGGTAGCTCCTTTGTGAGCTTGAATCTGTACCATGGGCTCAGAGGAAACTAAGGCACACAGAGGGGAAGCCAGTTGAGGGAGGCCACAGAGCCATGAAGTGGCAGACTCAAGATTTGCACCCACAGTGGGCTGACTCCAGAGCTTGCTGAATGTTCAGAAGGAAGTCTGGGGAGATCACCTCCAGGCTCTTTCCTCAGCAGCCCCCTTCCCTGCTTTGCCCACCAGCCTGGGTTTCAGCAGGGGCCTGAGGTAAAGGACCATCCCCCCAGCCGGGGGCTCCCTAGGGTTTCATCCTTTCCAGGCTGTGGCTGCCTCTCACTTGGTACATTTCCCGTCCAGGAGGAAGTAGCCGTGGAGGCAGCTCTCACATCTGTCCCCGTAGCTGTTATTCTGACAGCTGACACACACAGCCTCATCTTCACTGGGGCCCTCAGACACCCAGTTCTCGATCTGGCCAATAAAGGGCAGGGTGCTCATGAAGGCTGTGTTCAGACCCCTCCTCCCTCAGACTCCGAGGTCCAGAAGCCCAGCCCAGGCCCTTCCTCCCTCAGACCCGGGTGACTCTCCCCACCCCCTGGGTTCTCCAACCCACTGCCCAGTTGACTTCCTTATTTGGTCTAGGTCCCCACACTGCAGACCCTCCCCTGGTCTCACCTGTCCATCTCAATGAATGTGTTGAGATGGGTAGGAAACCCCGCCCCATTCTCCCTCAGACCCAGGGGTCTGAACCCCCAACTTCTCACCTCCTCTGGATCTAGTGAGTATTTCTCTGGCTCCCTCCGGGCCATTTCCAGCTCCTTCCTGGAGACGCACACATGGCTGTTGCCCCGGCAGAAGGTGTGGCAGGGCCGGCAGGTCCCGCCCCCCACGGCTGAACCCACAAATAGTGGGAGGCACTGCTCACAGTGGCTGCCCTGGGGACCCACAGGACAGGGAGGTCAGAGGAATCTGGGAACCACAGGAAGGTGAAGAGGTGGGGAGGAGGGCACTTCTGAGAGCAGCTAGGGCGGTGGCAGGACCTGGCCCCCTGGCCTGAATAACCCCAGCCTCCTGGTATTGCCCCCACCTTCAATTGCATGCTTCCAGGGACTGGGGGCGCACTGTCCCCAGCCTGAGTCCTGCCCTACACTATTCCCAATCCTCCTGTATGGGACTACCCTTTCTGGCCCTACCCCAGGGCAGCACTCCTGTGATATGAACCCAGATGACACCCCCAAAACCTTCTTGCAAATCCCTGGACAGGGCTCTGCCCCCTCTCCCCAGCCTGGACCCATCTGAGCACAGGCCAAAGACAGGGACAGGCCTGGGCCTTGGGCGGGGCCCACCTTGGTGTGATTGCGGCAGAGCAGGCAGTGGTCCCGTGCCCCAACGCCAGCACATTCGCTGTGGCGGTTGCACCGACACTCGGTGGAGCAGTTGCGGCCAACAAAGCCAAAGTGGCAGCGGCAGTAGTCGGGCTCCACGCAGGAGCCGTTCACGCAGCCCTGGGCACACACGGGGCGGCATAGTCCCGTCACACTGTGGGGGGAGGGTGGGCGTCAGGGCAGGCTGCAGGCAGAGGAAGAGCCCTCCCTCTCGGGGTCCTGCCGCGAAGCCCCGCCTCACTTGTCCATGGTGTAGCCTGTCTTGCAACTGCACTCATAGCCGTGTGGCCGGTCGCGGCAGTTCTGAGTCTCATTGCAGTCGTGGTGCCCGTTAGCACACTCGTCCTCAGGAGGGCAGGACAGGAAGGCCCAGGAGGCCCCAGGACGCCCGCATGTCAGCCCTGGCCATGGGGACACGAGACTTCATCTGAACCCTGGCCCGGCCACCCAAGGTCCTCAATCCCACAGCCTCTGAGATAGTGCCCCAGAGCCCTGCACATTCCGACTACAATCAGTGAGGTGAAGCACAGTGTCATGTAAAACTGATGATCAATCACTGCATTCACAACCAAAAGTTAAAAAAAATAAAAACAGCGTGAAAGCAACATGCGCTGTAACAGAAAGGGAGAAATGGATTCAATACTACAGGCTCCAACTGACAGGTAAAAATCCCATTACAAACTTCAAAAGAATTAAATATATGAATTATGTTTTTATAAAAAGCCCATCCCTGTGTTCTTCAGCCCAAGGCCAGTTCCCTCTCACTCCATCTTAACCCCTCTCACCTTCCCGGGGGCCGCTGAGTCCACCCTCCAGGCAGCGTCCACCACCATCCTGGCCACCCCAGGCACACCAGCCACAGTGGGGACGTCGTAGGCACAGGGCACACTGTGTTGCCTGGGCACAACCCAGGGAGCAGCTCTCGGGGCCTCGGAGCAGCCGCCCGCAGCCTCCGGCCATACATCGTAGGGGCAGGTAGGAGGGACTCAGACACTGTACCAGAGGCAGTTGTGGGGGGGTGGGAGAGAGGCAGGAAAAGACAAGTCAGACAACACATTCTGGGCATCTTCCCAGACTGCACTCTTTTCTCTAAGCTCTCACTCCCCAGCCACAGCCAAGTGGACCAAGGCGGCAGCAGCTGGAGCATCCAGCATGTGGAAAACTAGAAGCAGAGACGGGGGTGGGGGTTCAGGTACAGGAAGCCTCTAAGTAGCAACTCACCAAAAATATCCCCGATGTCTTTCTAAAGCCAACCAGTATTTTAGCCTGATTAGTGTCTGGAGCAGTGTGCTATATGGGGTCCAGTTGACAACAGCAACCCCCAAGGCTGGATAGGAACTATGGAGCACGGGGGCAGTGAGGAGTATTATCCATGAGGGAGGATGAAAGAGGTTGCACATCTCAAAAGGCTGTAGTTGGTTTCACAGAATGGTACGTGTAGAAACCATTGGATTGGTATGTTTTTGTTGCGTGTAAAAGGCTGTAGTTGATTTCACGGAATGGTACGTGTAGAAACCATTGGATTGGTATGTTTTTGTTGCGTGTAAAAGGCTGTAGTTGATTTCACGGAATGGTACGTGTAGAAACCATTGGATTGGTATGTTTTTGTTGCGTGTATGGTCAACAAAAATAAACTTCAAGAAAAAGAAAAGTAGAAGATCAGGCAGACCTGGGCTGGAGAGGCCTTCTGAATGCTGGGTATGATGCAGAGAGAAGTGGAGATAAGAAACATGCTCCCTGGACAGACAGAGACAGCTGTCTAGGTTCTGTCTCCAGTCCCTTATGAGGTCTGTCTGTACTTTCCACCCATGTTCCACAAGGTTGTTGTTGTTGGTAGGTGCCATCAAGTCGGTACCGACTCATAGTGACCTTATGCACAGCAGAATGAAACACGGCCTGATCCTGGGCCAACCTCACTACTGTTGCCACACTTGAGTCCATCGATGCTGCTACCTGGCCAATCCATCTCGTTGGGGGTCTTCCTCTTTATCTCTGACCCTCCACCATACTAGGGTGCTGAGCACCCTCCACTAACTATCTGAGGGAACTTCTGCTTCTTACAACCCAACAATCCCTGAGAGAGACAGAAGCTAGAATCAGGAGTGGGGTTACAAGTCATGGCTGCTTAGAAAAACATGGACTTGACTGCAGGGGCAGCAAAGATTCTCCTGTTGAAGAAGCCTTGGCTAGAGGCCATGCAACAACTCACGACTCCCTGATTACTAGTCTCAGGACCCAGACAACATGCACCATGAGGTCTAGACTCTTGGGAACTTGCTGGGCAGATAAGACCATTTTACTTACTGCTTGGGCCTTAAGTAAAGTATATGAGGAAAGAGATTAATCTGGGCTGTCTGAAAGCACTTTAAAAAAATAAATAAAATGAAGCAGACTCCTGAAATAGAACTCTGATCACTGTGGCTGGAGCTCTGAGCCCACGGAGAGCTGGGGCCAGCGAGGAGCTGAGACTTGATGAACTGCCAGGGCGAATTCTCTTCCAGGCTGGGCACCTAGATGTAAATTTAGTACACCGACTGGCAGATACTTGGGCGATCTTGGAGAGGGGAGAGACACTGGAGGCTGGGCCCCAGTCCTGAATAGCATTTTCTGCTGGGACTTTCCTAGTGAATACCCAAAACTGCATTTCCTGTGTACCTGGAGGAATGTATGGATGTAGGTCCTGAGAGCAAGACCCTCACCTATCTCTATCCTATGCCCAGAGCCTGGCAAAGTACCCGCAGGAGCTAGATGCTCGGTGAAGAATCTGTTGAAGAAAGGAAGGAAGGAAGTGAGGAACAAAGTTAGTCAGTAAAGCAGGCAGACAGGTAGACAAGAAGTGAGAGAAAATGTGAAGCAGGAAGTTAAGAGAGTTAGTTAATTACTGAGGAAAGATGGATCCCAGGGAGCAGGGCACTCTGCGGCCGGCCCCAGGCACTGAGACCAAAACCATTAAAAGGAATGGCACTGGTTAGTTACAGTCTGACAGCCCTTGAGCCGAGTCCTAACCGGTCTGGCCTGCACACCTGTCGTGTCTGGCCTGCACAACTGTCGTGTCTGGCCTGCACACCTGTAGTGTCTGGCCTGCACACCTGTCGTGTCTGGCCTGCACACCTGTCGTGTCTGGCCCAAACAGTGGCATTTTCAAAGCATCTGAACCAATATCACTCAGTGATTTAATCAATACATGAATCCTGATCAAAATGGGGAAAGATTGGATGTAGTCAGACCTTAACTGGGTCTTGCACAATTAGAGTGGACACCAGTGAAGGATCCCTGGTGACACAGTGGGTTAAGCACTGGACTGCGAATCAAAAGGCCGAGGTTCGAACCCCCAGCCACTCCGTGGGAAAAAGATGAAGCTACGTGCTCCCGTAAAAGATCTCTGGTCTTGGAAACCTGAGGGAGTAGTTTCAGCTCTGTCCTACAGGAGAAAGATGAGAGCTCTGCTTCCGTAAGATTTACAGCCTTAGCAGCCCTATACGGGGTTGCTAAGAGTTAGAACCAACTCCAAGGCACACAACCACCATCCCCAACCACTGGGTTGCTATGGGTAGGAACTGACTCGACAACAGTGGGCTTCGTTTGTTGGTTTTGGAATCAGAGACTTAGAACTCTGGCCTAGTGACAGCAAGAGGGGAATCTGCCTTGTCTCCCACAAGGTGGGGTGAATGCCTTTGTGTCTGGGACTGTTAATCACCCTCGGCAGAGATATCTCTGGACGGGACTTCATTGGAACATAAGAAGATGTACTGACTTCTCTGGACGGGACTTCATTGGAACATAAGAAGATGTACTGACTTATTCGCAATAACAAAAAGATGAGGACAGCCTAACTGCCCACCAACAGAAGAATGGTTAAACAACCTTTGGTACATACAAACAATGAAGTACTTACTCAATGTCGAAAAGTAACAATGAGTCTGAAACACACCTCATGTGGTTGAACCTGGAGGAATTATGCTGAGTGAAACCAGTCAATCACCAAAGGGCACTGACCAAACTGTGTGAGACCACAGTTGTCAAAACAAAAAGGGTTTCTGACTAAAAGGCAATACATTCAAGAGGAAGGTTGGCAGAGGAAAGATGAAGACAGTGGAAGACTCGTGGAGGAATGCAGGAGTTAAAATGTGAATAGAAGTAAACACTGTTAACTGATGGTTCATGTGGGGATTGCAGTCATTGCAATGACATGGGGGGTAGGATTTGTTGAATGTGGGAATGATGATCTGTGCTGTAAACCTTCACTCAATTCACAATGAAAAGATTTTAAAATAATAATAGTACTATGTGCTAAACAGTCAGGAGTGGACTGCAACAGACACATGCGGTGCCTGCCAGATGACACCACTTCTGCAAGAACCATCTCCCCTCCTTTAAACAAAAAAAAAATCACTCATAAGAGGTCAAATGGTCAACAGCTACTTTAAGACAAAGATAAGAATGGAAGCAGGCAGGGAGACAAATGAACAGAGACGAAGAAGAGCAAAAATACTGCAAAGGTGACCACTGTGAAGTATGTAACCAATGCCACTGAACAGATTGTATAGAAATTGTTGAATGGGAACATAACTGTTGTGTAGACTTTCATCAAAAACACAGTAAGATTATCATTTGAAAAAAAAAGAATCAATTCTCCAACCCAAAGCCACAGATGAAGGGGTGGTGGGCCTGACTGTCCTGGTTGAACCCTGTGGTCCTACCCTTCCCTGGCCACCTCTCATTAGACCAAGACTGGAAACTGGATTCATGAGCTGTGTCAGAACCTTCCCTTGACAATGCGCCTCACTGATAAACAGAGGGGACTGCGGCCCCAAGAATTAGAAAGTCACATAGACTCAGGGTCAAGGGTTAGCATCTGAGATCAAGTTGACGATGAAGCCAAAAGAAACTAGAGGATGGAAATAAAGGGTGTGGGGGGGGTGGGTAGCTGACACTGGAGTCCATGTGGTGTGCTCCAAGAGTACGTCCTATTCTCAGACCCTATCAAATGCCCCCCATTCCTTACAATGAGACCAGTTTGAGTGGGTTTCTGTGTCTTATAATCAGAAGATTCTAAAAGCAAAGACAGAAAGAGATGGAGGAGGGAAGCAGTAGTACCTGTGGAGGAGGGGTGGGAGGGTATCAGGAGACACAGACGAGGATGAAGAGGGAAGACCATGAGCAAGAGTTGGAGAGGTGCAAGGACTGAGGGTCTGGGAAGGTGGCAGAGTGAGGCAGAGAGAGTCATAGGCCAGAAGGAAGACAGACTAACAAAGGATGTTGGGAGGAGAGATGATCAAGTGTGAGAGAGAAGACACCCGTGGGAGCAGGCAGGGGGGAACAGGAGAGCAGAGGAGGAGGTGGTGGAGGAAAGGTTGGTGCTGGCAGCAGGAGGGAGCCCCAGCCCACGCTGCGTGCGGTACCTGCTGGAGACTGCTGCTCCATGCACAGTGCTGCCAGCCCCCATCCGCACCTTTGGAGTCCAGGCAGGAGGTACAGTTGGGCAGGAGGTGACAAGGAGTGGGACAGGGCAGTGGGGGCGATGACTCCACTGGCATTGGGGACACGTTCAGCAGGGAGTGGCTAAAGCAGGTCCAGTCGTAGGTGGGCTGCACTGAGAGGATGCGACGGGTCTCCCCTGAGGGTTTGTGTTTAGAGGCATTAATACCCAGTCTAGGCCCAGCCCCTCCCCCCTCACACCCAGAGGTTCAGGCTCCCAAGCTAGGTGGTCACCTGTCCTCTTGAACTGCCGCGTCCACATGCACTTGCCCTCCCGTGTGCACTGCTCACAGTCGGCAGCCCCACATGCAGCCTCAGAGCAGTTCCCGGCCCAGAAGACCTCTCGCTGGTTTATTCGGCAGTCGTTCTCAGAGGTGCAGGAGCCGTTGCGTCCAATGCAGGCGCCCTCGGGGCAGTTGGTACACCACTTACACCGGGGGACAGATGCCTGTCACAGGAAAACAAACACTGGTTCCCCCAACACCCCTCCTGGCCCAGCTCTTCCCACTCAATCACAGAGAAGGGCATTGTGGTCCCAAGAGCCTGGAGTGGGCAGAGACTGAGGGGGAGGGGGTCCTTCCCATGCCCGCCTGCCCCATTGGCTGGCACCTTCACCTCTCCATCTCCTGGCTGCAGAGTGCGGGGATGGCGGGCCAGGCACTCACTGCAGGTCCGCAGACGTCGGCACTCCTCAGGGGATTGAGGCATTGGGGAACAGGGTGGGCCCCCACAGCCCAACCTGAGGAGCAGGAGGCCTAAGCTCAGGTCCTTTCCCCTCTTGGTCCCACCCTCCCCTCTTCCTGGTACCTCCTGAACAGTATCCTGCAGCAATGCTCCCCTCCCCAACCACAGCATCCCAGACTTACCCATCACCGCCCCCCACTCTACCCATAACCATGTCCATCCTCCGGCCCCTCCAGCCACCAAGGCCTGCAGCCTCCTGAACTGCTCTTGGACCCTCCTCTCCCCCACCACTCCTGGGGGCCATGACTCTATCTATGTCCAGTCCAGCTTGACCTCGTCCCTGCCTGCAGCCTCCCCTTGGCACTCTTGACTCTTACAGTAGCCTCAGGGAATCTTCCTGCCCAGACCTGCCCCTGCCCTGCCGGAACCTTCTGTGCTCCCTACTGTCCACAGAGGAGGCCCACATCCCTTACGCAGAGCCTCGGAGGCACATATGTCAGAACTTGTCCTTATTTAGAAATGTGGCAGATACTGAGTTAACAGTAACCCCCTGGGGGCCTGAGGCACAGCCTTGTGTTGCGTTCCACAGTTAAGTCCCCAAGGGGACGTGATGGGATACACCAAGCCCAGAAACAGTCCCCTTCACTTCAAGATAATCACACAGCCAGCCTGGATTCCTGATCTACGGAGACATGGATGGAGCAGCTGGTCCCCTCATCTCTCTTTCCTCACATAGATGTCTCTCAGATACACCAGGCCCAGTCCCCTTCCAAACCTTGGCCAGCCAAAACTCTACCAGTCATTTAAGGCCCGGTCAAGGGTCCCCAGCTCCTCCAGGAAGCACCCCTGGGATGACATCCCAGGTCACAAGGAGCACCCTGACCCAGACCTCTCTTGACCACCCTTGCTTTTGATGATCCATCTATCAATCCACCAATCAATCACCTTGGAGGCAGGGACTGGTCCGTTCTGTTGTCCCTGCTAGCCTGGCCCAGAACCTCTGTGGAGGACCACCTCAAAGCGACTGCCTGTGGTTACCTGTGGGCCTGATCCCCAGACAAGCAGTTCCCATGGCACCAGGTGCAGGCCCCAGACTGGTTACAAGCTTCAGGTGAGGGCAGCAGGCGACAAGGGTCTGGGGGCAGAGTCAGAGCCAGCAGGCGGCCCAAAGCCACGCCCCCGAAGCCCCCAGAGATGTAAAGGCGGCTGCCCACTGCAGCCACAGCATGAGCCACAGACTCCTCCATCGGGGGTCCCACAGAGGCTGGGCCTGGGGGGAAAGGGCAGGTTTTCAGAGTGACAGAAAGCAATGCAGGACAGGGACACATACCAAGATAACCCCCAGGGACGTCACGAGAGGAAAACGAAGTCCAAGAACAGAGGCACACGGAGACAGAAGACAGACATAGAGCAAGAAAAAAAGAGGAAGATGAAAAGATAAAAGGAAACAGAAAAAAGAAGGGCTAAAAGAGAGACGAGCAATGAAAAAGACACGTTCGGAGAGAAAGGGGTTAGAAAACAGGGGTCAGACAGAGAAGAAAAAAGAAAAAAGAGAGCCAGGCCCAGCCACACACAGCCAGTCCTTCACAAGGCTAAGTGAAATCCCCAGGGCGGTATAAAGAGAAACCTGCTTCTAATCCATGAGCAGCCAAGACCCAAAGGAAATAGCTCTGCAGACAGTACAGCTGTCTCTGGAGAATAGGATTCTGGGTGATTACTCTCTATTTTATAAATTATGTACAATCAATATGAACGGCTGCCATAGGGCAGAACAGAATGGCCCCGTAGGGTTTCCGAGACTACAAATCTTTACGAGAGCAGACAGCCTCATCTTTCTCCTTCAGAGCAGCTGGTGGGCTTGAAACGCTGACTAAGCAATTAACAGTCCAATGCTTAACCCACTGCTCCACCAGGGCTCCTTCAAGCACTGTTATTACTTTATAATCAGAATGGAAAAATAATTTTTTTCTAAGAAACTAGTAACTAAAAAGGAAGGCGGCTATCTCCAAGGCGTACACAGAGACGACAGGGCAGACAGGACTTTGCTGGTGGGTCTAAGGGGGGCTTTAAGTGACTCCTAGAGGAGGAGGTTTCAGGTTGGGGACAGCACTGGAGACAGTGTGCCTCCTGGGTGTCCCCAGGCCTCTTAGGAACAGTGACGAGGACTCACGGGTAAGGTCGGGCAGCAGCCAGGCATTGCAGTTGACCTGGTAGAGCAGAACATCACTGCTGAACTCGTCAGGGTCCGAGCGGCCCCCCAGGACCACCATGGTGTCCCCAAGCAGGGCTGCAGCATGGAAAAGCCGGGGACGAGGCTAGTGGGGAGACACGTGCCAGGAGCGCCTGTCAGAGCCCACCAGTCCTCACACCCCCTCTTAGCCTGCCCACCACCCCCAGGATCTCCTGATTCCCCTCCTGCAGCAGCCCACCCAATCTAAACTCTCTTCAAGTCTCATCTCCTCAGGAAACCTCTCTTATCTTCCAGGGAAAACTACAGAGCCCCCACAGCCCAAGCTGCTCACCCTGGGCTCAGCATGGACTGCTTGAGAAAACTGCCCACAGTTCTCATCTTGCCAGTGGGGTTGGAGGCACCCTGGGGGCAAGCTTTGGGGGTCTATTTCTGTCACCCTCTAGGTCCACCAAGGAGGGGCTTGTGAACTAAGCAAGCAATTGCCTCAAGCCAACACAGATGGGGTTCCGTGGTTTCCCTGCACATTGTCCTGCCTTTGGCTTTGCAAGGTAGGAAGCACAAGGGGCCTTAGTCCCAGATGAAGAGGCCCAGAACCATCCAGGACCCCACCAAGATTGAGGGCAGAGCCAGGGCTAGAACTCATGCCTCTGGTCTCCTGGTCTGGAAGGCTTCCTTCCAAGTCAGGGATGGAAGCAAGAGGACACTGGAAGGTGTCAGAGTCCAGTCAAGGGGACTGGAAAGGAGAGGAAGTAGGATTGTACCAATCTGTGAGGCAATGGGAAAGGGCCCCCTGCCCTCTACAACCATCTGTCCATCTCTTTTCCTGACCTTTGCCCCCTGAGAAGGGGCCAGCAGGCTCCAGGTGCGATCAGGACAGTGCAGGGAGTAGAGTTCTGGGGATGGGGCAGCCAGCTCCACGTGGAAGCGGAAGCCTCCAAACACATACAGGGAGTCCGTGGCCTCGTGGTAGACGGCTGAATGACCATAGAGACCTGGGGAGGGCAGAAGGACCCAGAGGTAGAGGAGGGAGGCAACGAGGAACGTCCCCAGCCACCCTGTCCTAGCCAGGTTCCCCTTCACAGTGGCCACATCACACCACCAGGTCAGATGCCTGTGAGCCCTCAACTCCCTCTCTGCTGGGATCACAGTTTAATCATTAGAGATTCTGGGGAAAGTAAGACTCAACTGCGGGGAAGTTATAATCGACTCCTAGGAGGGAGACAGGGGAACTGGAACATCCCGAGAGACGGTTAAAGGATGTAAAAGGAGCAACAGAAAGGAGAAGACTTGAGGAGCTCTGATTTTCTAGTGGAGGGTGGGGGGCGGGCAGACAGTGTCTGGGCGGGATGTGGACACAGTCAGGGAGGGAGGAATAAACCAAGTATCTCAAGAATCAAGGAGGGTGTTAAACTTCAGCAGTTCAGTTTCACAGGAATAACATTATCTCAAATTTCTTTTCTTGTGTCATTTTAGATTATGCTGGGCATGATACATTGCACACAAGATTTGCAACAAACAAACATAATGCTTTCAAGATTAATGTAAAGTACCAAGTCCTGGTTTTGAAAATGCAAGTTGTCATTGATGTGCAGTCTCTCATACCTGGTTTGTATCTGTCACCTGTTCCTAAAACTGATACCACATGTTTTACATTTCTGTTAAGTTAGAACCAAAATTTGGCAATAAAATTATATTCAGGACATCTATATTTTTAAATAACAGTACATTTGACATTTAATGGCATGCAAAATAAATAAATAAATAACACAAGTTCGGGCCAGGAATAATAGAGGCAACTTGTAACTCCCTCCACTTTGACTGAGGACTCAATAAGGAAGGACAGCTCAGCTTTATGGATATGGTTGTGAGTGAGTTAAATGTGTGTCACTGCTTGTACTGCTATTGTATGGCTTCTTGCCTTGTTGGAATAAACTTGCTCAAATCCTTTCCTGTCTGGTTTGAAGTCTGGTATTTTGTGTTACTAGTCCTTACTTGGCTGCATGGCAATACGTTCCTAGTGACTTTTATGACTAGATGGAAGCTTATGTTGGATGGAGAAAGTGAACCATGTTCCTAAATTCTTTCATTTCCTGGTAGAACAGGAACAAACTCCTTAAGTGTTTTCCTGGTTGAATGGGAGCATGAATTTAATGGGGAAAATGCATGATGTCCCTAAGTCCATTTATAACTGGACAGGAGCAATATCTTAAGCCTTTTCCTGGTTGGATGAAATCATTAGTATCAGTTATATCTCCCATGAGCGGCCTTTGGCTTGGTTAAGAAGTTAAATATGTGTATGCGTTAGTATTACTATTTTCTGGCCTTCTGCTTTGTTAATATGGTTTTGTGTTGCTTTTTTCTCACAGAAATATTTTTAAAAACTGTTATTTTTAGACAGACCGAAAAAAAAAAAAAGAATCAAGGAGGGCCGGCAGTGACCATCGAGTATGGGAGTGGCTAGAGAGCCTACGGGAAGCCCTGGATGACCAGGTCAAAGAAGCTCCACCCTCCCAGGCCCCACAGCAGCCCCACCTGTGGGGGGTGTCCCGCTCTGGGATCCAGATACCCAGGTGCCAGCTGCCAGCTGGTATTCGAACAACTGCTGATTGAAGCCATTTTCTGGGGAGTAGCCGCCCACCAGAAGCAGAGACAGTCCACGGCGAGCGGTAAGGGTGTGGCCTGCAACGGCGGGCAGTTCCAGGGTCTGAGGGGCCTGAGGGAAAGGGTGAAGGTCAGCAGAGGGCCCGAGGTAAGGGGTCAACTTATGGGTATCAGTTGAGACTCGAATCTCCCCACACATCCCTCTTGTTGCCAAGGCGGTGGTGAGCAACTCAGGGCAGGGCAGACCCCAGAACCTGGGCTAGCCACGATCCTGGCAGGTAGAGGTAGACAGCTGGTTATATCTCCAGTTCTTAGGGTCAGGACAGCCTGGGTTTATTATGGGCAGCCCTTGCTCCTCTCTGCTCACTCCATGAGGCTGTGTCCCAGCCTGGCCAACCAGAGGCCCGTGTCCCACTGACCAGTGATTGGTTGGGACTACAGCGTGACCCAGGATGGACCAATGGAATTCAGTTCTGGGGCTTCCACTGGAACCCTTGTCCTTTGGGGACCAAGCTGGCAGGAACTCTCATGTCTGAGTCTGACTGTGGGGCCTGGGGAGGGGAGGCTCACCTTTTCCTGCCGCCACTGCAAGGTGGTGAGATTGAGGACCCAGAAGTCACGAGTGACACCCCCAGATGTGAGTCCCCCCAGCAGGTACATGGCACCGCGGCCAGCAGGAACATAAGCAGCTGCATGGAAGGATCGGGGGGAGGGGCCAAGGCCCCCATCCTCAGCTCCTGCCAGCATCTGTGTCCACCGGCGGTCACTCACCGAGTACCTGGGGGCGAAACACAGCATGGTCTCAAAAATGGCCTCATTGTACAGGCATTCCAGCATCCCCTACGGCAATTCTCCCTCACAGGCATCCCAGCATCCCCTAGGGCAACTCTCCCTCACAGGTATCCCAGCATCCTCTAGGGTGACTCCCTGGACACACATGTGTCCCCGCATCCCTTTGAGGTAATGTTCTGTAATAGTCATCTTAGTACTCACCACCTAATACCCCAGTCCCTCCTGTGAAAAGTATCCCAGCATCCTGCACCCCAAGGTGACCCTCAGCAGGCCCTAAGGTGATCTTTCATGCAGGTATCCCAATTCCCCAGGCAGGGCAGTTCTCACCTGTACAGGTTCCCCAGCAGCCCCTGGGGCAGGCCCAGGCCCCCAAACATCCAGAGAGTGGCATCAGGCCCCTCTACCATGGTGTGCCCCAAGCGGTGTAGGAAGCGGCTAGCAGTGTCCTAGGGAGCGGGGAGGTCAAGTATCAGGCCCGGGTACTGGGTCTGGGTCTGGGGAGGTCCCAGGATTGGAGGTAGGAGATCAATGCAGGATTTGCTATGCAGGGGAGTGGGAATCCACAACTCACAGCTGAGAGGCGGCTGTCCATGAGGGTCTCCCAGACTAGCTGCCCACCATCCAGCTTTGTGGTACAGTCGGGACCCCCAAAGCCCTCAGCACAGATGCACACACCCAGGCTCTGGGGACAGCAAAGAGAGGCTCATCGGAGCGGAGCCCTGACCACCAACCCCACCCACACACCGGCTGTCCTGTCCCCCTTGTACCTGATTGCAAGTCCCTGCCCCGTTGTGGGCGTTACAGTTCTCAGGACACAGGGCCATACGACAGTGTGGGCCAGCCCAGCCCTGGGGACATCGGCAGAGCCCGGCACCTGCAGCCCCGTCTTGGGGCACGCACTCCTGGGGGACAGGACAGCTCCCAGGTCCCCCAGACCCACAGCGGGCAGAGCCCACCGAGGCATTGAAGCCCCAGGAGGAGGAGCCATTGGCCTCCCAGTGCAACACGAGCAGCCCTGGAAGGAGGAGAGGGAGAGGAGGAGTGAAGCCTCACACCTGCCTGCAGGGACTGCGCTTCTCCAGGTTTCCTGTGAAGCCAGTGCAGCTGGGCAGGGACACAAAACACTCCGAAATGTATCACCATGCCAGACTTACTAGGCTTCTCTGGGGCCCCTTCCTTTGTCCAACCCATCAAGTTCCCTCCGTTTTGCAACCGTAGTCTGTCCCATGCACCCTCCTATGTCATGCTCCCATCTGTAGCCTAGACATCTGCATGCCTCTCAGCTGGTCTTCCCGGCCCTTTGAAACAGAAATCTGGTCCTGTCACTGCCAAGCTCCAAACCCTAGCACAGCTCCTGGCCGCTCTCAAGCCCAGGCACAGGAGGGACAGAGGGCAGAAATTCATGATAAAATATGTCAGCTACGGGGGGGGGGCGGGGGCAGTACCATTTCAGCGGTGGAACTCTCCCCTTCTACACACGTTGCTGTAATGCTAAACAGGTTTCACTGGATCTTCTAGACCGAGGTGGGATAGGAAGAAAGACCTGGCAATCTACTTTCAAAACTCAGCTTTAGAAAGCCTTATGTATCACCACGGTCAAGTCCACAACCAATTGTGGGAAAGGTGCGGGACCAGGCAGCGTGGCATTCTACTGTGCACTGGGCCAACTTGACAGTGGCTAGCCACATGTAACCCAGCCTTTGACCAAGTCGAACCTGGACAAATGTCACCTCTGGGACCCTGAGTGTGACACTAGCTCCTCTGCACTCCAGCTTCCTGGCAGCTCTGTTCACCTTCTCCTTCCAGCTAGGCATCTGCTCTTCCCTCTGCCTGGAGCACTCATGGGTCCTCCCATAACTCCTCAGGCCTGCAATCGGCTGTATCACAGTTCCGACTCATAACAACCCCATGGACAACAGAAGCACGTAGCTACGATTGCAGGGTAATTGTCACTGACCCTTTACTAATCACGATGTCTTTCGCCAGTCAAATTGCACCTCTGCAGATAAGCCCTCCCTAGCTGCAAAGTGGGGGCCAGGTGGCTGCCCCTTTCTGCTTACTCTGGGCCCTTAGTACACTCTCTGGCGTCGACCTTTGAGGACTGGTGTCCCCGCGGGCAGGGCCTGTGTCCTGCTTCATCCCCAGCATCTTGCTCGGGCCCAGCCCACCACAGATGCTCAGTGAACATTTGCTGACTGAGGCAAAATAATGACACCTTAGTCTCCCAGGCATGGATTCGCTGGTTCCATGGGCACGTGTCTATGCTGGGCCCTTTAATGTCCACAGGCAAGAATTTGTCCCACATCTCTGTTAGACTAAGCAGTTTCTCAGCCACTTGGCATGGCTGATGTTTGGGCCAAGTAACTCTTCATTGTGGGGAGCTGTCCTGTGCGTTCTGGGGTGTTCAGTAGCATCTCTGGCCTCCACCAATGAGACATCAACCCCTTCAATGATGACAATCAAAATGTCTCTATACCTACCACTGTAGAGTTGATCCAACTCAAAGAAACCTCATAGGAGAGGGTAGAACCTGAGACTAAAGGTTTACGGCAGCACACAGCTTCATCTTTCTCCCAAGAGGCAACAGGTAGGTTGGAACTGCCAAACTTGTGGTTAGCACCCAACACTTAACCCAGTGCACCACCAGGTACTGTTAAATATTCCAAGGGACAAAATCGATCCTGGTTGAGAAACAGGACTAAGGAGCCCTCACCAGCCACATTCTGCATGCCCCAAAGACATGATCTACTAGGTTCTTCACTCCAGAGAGGCAGTTCAGCCAACACAATCCCATTTTCTCACAACTGAGGAAACTGAAGCCCAGAGGTGACAAGGGACAGAGTCACCCAGCATGCCACTGGCAGAACTGGGCTTGAACTTGGGTCTTAGAGACCACCACAGGCAGTGAGGTACAGGAGTAAGGAATGTAAAGTCCCAGATGAAAAAGGTCCCATGCCTCATACCAGACAGGGCCTGCACGGTGAGGGGTCTGTCCCGCCGCTGGCCACAGAAGGCAGCAATGAGGCTGCGGTCCGACTGGACAATGCCAGTGTCCAGGAAGCGAGGGAATCCATCAAAGGCTAGGACGTAGCTCAGCTGGAGGGGAGCAGAGTCAAAGATTAGGGGACCAGGAGGATGAGAAAGAGGGTGTTTGGGATCTGGGAAGAGGAGAAGGGAATCTGGGGCTGAAAAATGAACTATCTGAAGAACCAGGGCAGGGCTGCTAAACTGTGGCATGATGGCCACCATTCCTCATCCTGTGTTCAGAGCAGACATGGCTAGTCAATCAGAACTCCTGCATCAAGCCTTCCTCTAAACACAGAGCTCCAGGAAGTCACAACCAATCAATCAGAACTGGCATGTCAGGTGAAGGTACTTTCAATGCCTGATCTGGAGCAGGGGGGCTGAGGACCTGGAGAATGGGGGACTGGAGTCCAAAAAGAAAGTGAGCTGAGAAGTGGGAGGGTCGATAGCCTTAAAAACAAGGGCTAGGGGTCTGGGGAACAGGGTTTGGGGTCTGGAGGACACAAAAATGGGGCGTGGGAGGGCAGGTCAATCTGGAGATCCAGACTGGGGTTGGGAAGACACATATCAGTGCTTACCGTGCATGGAGTGCTACTGTCAGGGGAGAAGGTGAGGGTGAGTGGGGGACAGAGAGTCCCAGGGGCACATGGCTGGAGCACCTCAGTGGCAGACACAACCCACACGCAATAGGACAGGCCCAGGCCAGCTCTTGTCGCCCCACCTGGAGGCAGCAGCCCCCCAACCCGGCGAGAGCCCAGTGCCACAGAAGAGACATTGGTGAGGAGGGCACGACCCCCACACTCCCGGAAGCAGGAGCCACCGGCCCTGGACAAACAGAGAGGCAGCATGAGCCAGTCTTGCCCAACGGCCCCTTGTCCCGAACCCCACCCGGGCCCCGCCCTGGCTAGCCGCCTGGCTCACCGGGGGTCCCCATAGTAGCCAGGCGAGCAGAGCTGGCAGTGGGCGCCCTCGGTGTGGTCCTGGCAAAAGCAGAGCCCGCTGAGGTTGTCGCAGTGGCCCCGGCGTGGGTCCCCATGCCCGTTGCACTGGCAAGGCCGGCAGCCACCTGAGCCCGTGGCGTTGCCGAAGCTGCCGGGCCGACACCGTTCGCAGTGCTCCCCCCACGTCCAGTCTGTGGAGGCCCCCGCAGATGGGACGCAGAGTCAGGGACAAGGGCAGGAAGGGGCCTGGACCAGACCCCCACTCCACTGCTTCACTGGGAGGGAAGAGCAAGTCCCAGGAAGGGGAAGCAGCACAGACTGGGGCAGGGGACTCAGGGCTGGGCCAGGGGCGGGTGGGCGTCTGGGTAAAGGGGCCCTCACCCTGGCACTCATCACAGAAGCCAGGCCCCCGCTTGCGGCAGTGACTGTGGAAGTTGCAGCCACAGTCTCGGGAGCAGCGGGGGGCAGGGGGTCCCGGGGCAGGTGTGGGTGGTGGCAGGTCAGACGTCCAGCCCAGGTCACACATGCAGGTGAAGTCAGGGGGGCCACTGCACAGCCCATGCCCACAGTCCTCCAGGCACCTGAGAGATCCAGGCTGGGGTGGGGGAATGGCCAGGCAGGCCTAGAGCCCCCAAAGCATCACCCCTGCTCCCCCACCCCTCCATCTCCACCACAAAACCATCACAAGCTTGTCTCCTTGGTCCTGGACTATGTGGGTGGCCCTGTCACCATGGTAACCCCTCACACGTGCTAACTCCCATCTCAGTAGTAACCACATGCCACCACAGGTGATCTTGTCTCTCATGAAAACTCCCTTCCCTGCGTCTCCATGGCAACACTGAGCTTTGGAAGACTTGTCTCCATGGTAACTAACTAGCGTTGGGCGGGGGAGCTGGTCTCCAGGGACACCGCGTCATTCCGGCACCCCCCCACACTCACGTGCGGTTGCAGTGCGTGGTGCCATCACCCTGAAAGCCCCGCTGACAGTGGCACTCGTAGCTGAGGGGTGTGTTCAGGCAGGTGGCCCGCGGGTGACACCGTGCCAGGCCCAGGCGACACTCATCCACATCGGGGCAGCGGGCATATGCCCAGCGGGCCGGGAGGGCCACGGACAGTCCCAGGCCCTCCCCTACCCACAGGGAGCAGTTCCCCCCACCCAGGGGTCCCGAGAAGTCCCCCTGCAGGCACCTGGGAGGGAAGAACAGAGAAAGGGGGCGGTAAGAAAAATGGGGGACAGGCAGAGAACTAAAGAGGCTGCTAGACTCTGAGTGGAAACTGTCCACCCTGGCACCACAGGCTTCGGCTGGCGGCCACACTCACCGGCCCAGTGTGGGGTTGTCCTCCTTACCCACCCTACCTGGTCCCCCCACTTACAGTCCCCGTGCTCACCGGCCCAGTGTGGGGTTGTCCTCCTTACCCACCCTACCTGGTCCCCCCACTTACAGTCCCCGTGCTCACCGGCCCAGTGTGGGGTTGTCCTCCTTACCCACCCTACCTGGTCCCCCCACTTACAGTCCCCGTGCTCACCGGCCCAGTGTGGGGTTGTCTTCATTGCCACACCAGCCACACTCATGGCTCTGCAGACACTCATGGCAGGTCAGGAAGCGGTCACAGCTCCGGCACCGCGGCTCCGAGTGCACACTGCAGGGGGATAGGTATAAGGACTACCAGTGCCCACCCTCTCCACCAGCCTGGACCCCCCAGGATCTCCCTCCATAGGCCGCACCTGTCGTCCCAGCCACGGCAGCCTCCATGTGGGTACCGAGCCAGGTAGGCAGCAAACAGGAAGCAGGTGTGGGTGGACTGGCACCAGGCACACTGGCTGGAGTTGGCCAGGCAGTCCTCACAGGTCAGGCGCCTGCAGGACAGAGTTCAGGGGTCACTTACACTCCCTGCCCATCCCCGCCCCATATACACCTGTTCCCTGGATCCAGTCGAGCTCACTGGCTGCAGAGTGGGGGACACTCCTCTGGGCTCTTCAGGGCCCCCCGGCCCCGGCCCCGCCGGCTGCACGCCGCATCCCCTTTTCGGCTAGTGCTCTGATGCCACTCACAGAAGGGATCCTGGAGAGGGGAAGAGTCTATGTCACCCCAGAAAGACCACCCCATCTCAGCCCACCTCCGTCCTAACTGCTGACCTTTCTAGATGTCCCCTCTAGCCACAGACCCCTGTGGCCTGTGCGGTCCAGCACCCCACCCCTTCTTTCAGAAACAGCACCCTCTCTGTGTGAGGCCAGGTCAATCCTTGGGAACCAGAGATGGGCAAAGGGTCACCCCACCCCCTGCAACCTCAATGACTAGTCCTGGAATCTGTACAAGACCCAACTAGAGCTAATGAAATGGGACTCTGGAACTTCTGCTGACTGAGGGGACAGGAGAGCTATGGGTGGGAGCTGAGCTCCTCTCTTCCCACTCTGGGCTGCTGGCTGAGAGGGGGATGCAAGTCTGGAGCCCTGTGGCTCTCCTGTCACTTGCCAGGAATGACCCTCCCAGGGAGACAGCAGACACAGTCCAGCAGGAGATGGACACCTGATGTCGTTTGCAACCCTGAGCGTCCACTCCAGGGCTCGCTGGTTATTAGAGTCAATCAAGACAGGTTGGGTTGGCCTGCTTGCCCTTGCAGCCATGAAATTCCTGACTCCAGGAGCCCGGCTCTCCAGCCCTATATCCTTGGCTCCCCACCTGGCTCATGCCTCCAGGATCCCTCCAGCTGCTCTGCTCTGGAGGACCCCCTTTCCCAGTCTGCCTGCCCCAGCAGCCTTGGTCCTGAGACCACCTCCCTCTCCGGTTCAGCGGGCACCTGGGTGCAGGCGTGGCAGTCTCGATGCTCCTCACAGAGCGGACAGAGGGTGGGCACCAACACCAGCAGGGACCCACCAGTCCCATTACCGCTGCAGTGGGCCCCACCTTGGCGCAGGTGGCAGGTGGCACTGGCCAGGCACCAGCCACAGCCTTGGTCCGCGAGGCAGCCCAGGCAGGAGGAATAGGAGGTGCAGGCAGCTGAGCGGTAGGGCTCCAGGAAGAAGAAGGAGATTTCCTGAGGGGCAGTCATGGGAGGGTCAGGGGTCAGTGCTCCAAGTCAAGGGTTAGGAATCAGACCTTAGGTTTGGGGCCAGGGGTCAGAGTTTGGGGCTAAAGACTGAGGTTAAGGGTTTGCAGACAGCGTTAACTCTGGCACCTAGAAAGTAGGACTTCAGTGGTCAGTAGACTAAAGGGGAGTAGGATTTGTGAGAATCAAGAATGGAGGGCAGAGGTCTGAGATAATAGGGTAAGGCAGGAGTCGGAAGATGTGGATGGGGTTAGAATATGGTCAGGGGTCAAGGTTGGCATGGCCAAGGGGGTCACAAGTCAGGGCCCAGAGAATTAGGGGTCAGAGAGGCCAGGGATCCTGAGGTCAGGGCCTGGACCAGAGCACTCACACTGCCGCCTGGCACACCAGTCCGGTCCCACAGTAGGGTGAGCTCGCTGTGTCCAGGGCCCACGGAGCCGTTGAGCTGGCCCCGAATTTCAACTGCATACTTGTGGCCCCGCCCAGGCAGGGGGAAGAGGCGGGCGGAGCCTGGGCGCTGTAGCCGCCTAGTCTCCTTCTCCTGCTGAGCCACCCAGCGCCCCACTTCCTCCTGGGAAGAGGAGGAAGGCCTCTGAGTCCCTGAGCCTCTTGTACATCCCCAGCACCAGAATTCCTCCTCAGGGGAAGACGATTCAGACCTTGTCTACCTGCTTCAGAGTTCTCTCCAAGTTCTTTGCACAATTGAAAACCCACCATTTTGACTCCAGGACCCTTCCCTCATCCACTGGATTGATACCCTGAGCCTCTGATGTTCCTTCAACCTTCCCCCGAACCCCTGGATCACCCCATCCCCCCACATTGCCCCCAGGTAGCCTCACCATGTTGTCAGTGTCTGGGCCACGAGCCATCCGAGCCAGGACATGGAGACGCTGGGCCCGGGCCCACACAGCCACGTCCTCAGCTCCCGAGCCACCCGGGCCCCCTGGCAGCAGAGGGTGGATGAAGCCACGGTAGACCAGGGATACGTCTGTCTCTGGGCTGGGTGTCAGTGTGATGGTCGTACTGCGCACGATGGAAACCTGCAGCAACCATGAGTGGGGGTGGGGTGGGGTGGGGTGGTGAGGACTTCTCCGGACTGCCCCCAGAGTCCCCATGCCTCTCACACCACATCAGAGCCAGAAAAGATCGGTTAGTCCAACCACCTTCTCATTTTACCGAATGAGAGACCAAGGGAGGCTTGACAGAAAAGTCAGGACTCAAATTCAGACATCAAAATCCAAGGCCTTTCAGTATCCTCTAACCCAACACCCTACCTCCCACCAAAGTCCTCAGAAGTCCAGAGCCACCATTTAACGTGACAAATGTATCATGTGATTTATGTAGCTAAAGAACGGAACAGTGTGCATATCCAACAGTGACAGGCTGTCTATGTGAACTACCCACTTTGTCATGAAGACTATAAAGAGCATGAATAGACACATGCACAACCATGCCATTACATCATTATTCACAATAGCAAAAGAATGGGAACACCCTAAGCACCCATTAACTAACGAATGACACATACAATGACATACTAAGCAATGCTAACGTAAAAGGAGTCTGTAAAATTCATCACTCAACATGGATGAATCTGGAGGATATTATGCTAAATAAAGTCACAAAAAGACAAATGCAGTATAGTCCTTCTATTATAAAAGGAGCCCAAGTAGTGTAGTGGACTACAAGCTGGACTATTAACTGCAAGGTCAGCAGTTCATATCTACCAGTTGCTCCACAGGAGACAAATGAGGGTTTCTACTCCCATAAAGATTTACAGTTTCAGAAACTCTATATAGATAGGGTCACTATGAGTCAGAACCGACTCTATAGCACACAGCTACCAGCACTATCACTAGTATAAAGGAGCCCTGGTGTGGTGTTACAGCAAGCACTGGACTGCTAACTGCAAGGCTGGCAATTCAAACCCACCAGTCATTCTTCAGAAACCCTATACAGGGTCACTATAAGTTGGAACCAACTCAGAAACATTTAATAACGACTATTACAAAAAGTCACGAATAGACACACACAGAAAGCTGCATTTGTTGATGGTTACCAGTAATGGGAGGTGGGGAATCACTTTTTAGATAATACTAGATAGTAGGCACTTATAACATTTGGTGATGACCAACTTGACCAAGGTAAATATAGACACCAAGAAGTCACGTGAAAAAAGGGCAATTTTGGTAAATACCGTAGCAAGTATATATATATGTGTGTGTAATGTGTGTGTGTGTTTTGTTGTTGTAAAGCACCATCAAGTAGGTTCTGACTCATAGCAACTCTGTATAGGGCTCCCAAGGTTTGAACAGCCAACACTGTGGTTCAAATCGATCTTGTGGTCCAAGGCTTTATCCTACAGCACACCAGGACGCTATAACAAGTATATATACATATACTTATATACATATATGGAGTCCTGGTGTGGCGCTGTGGGTTAATGTGCCAGACTGCAAAGCCGTATGAACTGCAAGGTCAGCAGTTCAAGCTCACCAGGTGCTCCTCAGAAACCCTAGATAGGGTCACTATGGGTCGGAACCGACTCAACGGTACTTCACAACAACAACAAATATACATATACACATATAGCATATATGTTGTTAAGTGCCTTCAAGTCGGTTCTGATTCATAGCAACCCTGTGTAGAGTTCCCAAGACTTTAAATCTTTGCAGGAATAGAAAGCCTTACCTTTTTCCTGTGGAGCAACTGAAGGACTTGAACCGCCAAACTTGTGGTTTGCAGTCCAGTGCTTATTGTACAGAGCTACTGCGCTCCCATATCATATATATGGACTCCTGGTGTGGTGCTGTAGGATAATTACTGAACTGTGAATCACAAGGTCCGTGGTTCAAACCCACCAGCTGTACCTCAGTACCTTATACAAGGTAACTATGAGATGGAACCAATTTGACAGCACTTAACAACAACAACTATATATAAATAGATATCTATGTGTTGTATGTAAAGGAGCTCTGGTAATGTAGTGGTTATGAATTAGGCTGCTAACCTCAGGGTCAGCAGTTCGAAACTACCAGCCGTTCCGCAGGAGAAAGATGAGGCTTTCTGCTCCCATAAAAATTTACAGCCTCGGAAAGCCTGTACTGGGTCACTATGGGTCAGAAGCGACTCCAGAGTACTTAACAACATGTTGTACGTATAGATCACAACAGTAAAAAGAATGTGTGTGGTAGATGGATATGGATATGTACATGTGTATAGATGGGTACATGCCAGTAAATGTACATGTATGTAGAGGGCATCTGTAGGCACATACACACAGGGGCACAGTTACAGAGGCTTCATGTGACGTATCCAGACAGCTGGCAACATTGACTGGTTTACAGGGTTTAAAGGCTTGGGGCTATACTCTCAGGGGACCACTTAGCTAACACAACATAGTTCACAAAGATGATGTTCTATATCCTAGTTTGGTGAGTAGCATCTGGGGTCTTCAAAGCTTGTGAACAGCCATCTAAGATACAACTATTGGTACCTATTTGAATGCAGCCAAAGAGAATGAGGGAAATCAACGATTCAGTAGAAACGAATCCACAGGAATAATTGCCTACATGAAATGAGCCACAGCCTTTTCTAACCTGAGACCAGAAGAGCTAAATGGTGCCCAGCTATGACTACTGACTTTTCTGACTAGGGACACAACAGAAGGTCCCAGATAGGATCTGGGAGTGGGAAGAGGAATGTAGAGTAAAACTCAAATTCCTAAAATAGTCCTGACCTACTGGACAAGCAGAAACTTCTAGAACTCCCAAGATTATCACTCTCTGAACTTGGAATTGAGGCTATTTCTGGTCACCTGCCAGCCAAATAACAGACTGGTTTATGAAATAAACAACAGCACCCATGGGTACTGTGTTCTCTTCAACAACGAAATAACCACATACGACCAAACACTCAGTATTTACCTAAAAGCAAAGGTGAAAAGGCAAGGAGGGAAAGGGAAGCTAGAGCAATAGGAACAAAACAAACAGAATGGAAATAATGGAAACAATGGAAAAACCATAACCAATGGCACACAACAATTGGTATAAAATTTTTTAAGGGGAACCTACTTTCACCTAAAATACCATTTGTTTAAAATAATAATAATTTAAACGAGAGAAATAAAGCTAAAAGCAAATAAATAAATGAAAACAGTATTATACAGCTCTGAAATAAAGAATGAAGAAACACAGATGGGGGAAGTTAACCAGCTACCAGGCCACATGAAGACCATCAAGGAAATGAGAAACAGAAGCAAAATAGACGCAAGGACCTTTCCCCAAAGCCAACAGGGAGAGAGGGTCTTCTCCTTGAGTCAGTGCCCTCAGTTCAGACTTCTAGTATCTTAAACTCTGAGAAAATAAAGGAGGGAATGAGGGTAATTCCAACTCTGTGATGGGGAACTCCCCAGGATCCATTAAGTAAAAGAAAAGGAAGTAGGAGGAGCTCTGGTAATGTAGTGGCTTACACGATAGGCTGCTAACCACAAGATCAGCAGTTCTAATCCACCAGCCAACACTCAGGAGAAAGATGAGGCTTTCTGCTCCCATAAAGATGTACAGCCTCAGAAGCCATCTATATAGAGTCGATATGAATAGTAAAAGGAGCTCTGGCAGCGTAGTGGTTACAAATTGGGCTGCGAACCACAAGGTCAGCAGTTCGAAACTACCAGCTGTTCCGCGGGAGAAAAAGGAGGCTTTCTGCTCCCATAAAGATTTACAGCCTCGGAAGCCCTGTACAGGGTCGCTATGAGGCAAAACCAACTCCACGGCACATAACCATAACAACATGCCTAAGTAGGAAACGACTCGATGGCCAGAGCTGCTGCGGTAGTTTGGTGTGCTGAGTATCCTACCTTTTGTGCAAGGTAAGAAATGAACTGTCACATTTACTTGTATTTGAATAGGAAAACTAGAAGGCCATCAGAGACACCCAAGTGGATCTTCTGGGAAAAGCTAGAATGACCTTTCATCTGAGGGATGCCGGGGGTCAGTGAGGAACAGGGTAGATGGGAGAGGGTTTTCACTCAACAGCTTTGGGTATTTATTGTGATTTTCAAACCCTGTATAAGCGATTTTAAAAATCAACAAGGAGTCACTGTAGAAAACAGTTCAGCAGTTCCTCAATAAAGCACAGAATGACCATCTAAAAACATGCAACCCAGTAATTCTGCTCCTGGGTATATAGCCAAAAGAACCAAAGATAGGTATTTAAATTAAAACTTGTACATATACACAATTGTTCGTAGTTGCATTATTTACAATAGCCAAAAGGTAGAAGCCACCCAAACGTCCATCAACTGATAAGTAAAGAAACAATACGTGATGTGTAGGCATACAATGGAATATCATTCAGCCATAAAGAAGAAATAAAGTTCTGACATGCGCTAGGACATGGAAGAGCCTTGAAAACATCTTACAGAGAAAAGTGAGATGTGTAAATGACTGAAAATTCTACTCTTAAATTGATCAACCATGCAATGAAGATGCACTGGTAATTACCGATGACTAGAATTCGAAAGCTGCAAACCAAGACAAAGGATCGGTGGTTGGAAAATACAGCCTGGGTGACAGAAATGATGCCAGGGATCACATGACAGAATTCTGCAAGATTAGTGACTTATTCATTGCAAATGCCTTTTTTCACAGGAATTAAAGTAACTGTATCTGTGGGGAGAGGCAATGTCATCTGTCACCAGGCTAGGGGATGACTGGGGCAGACCTTCAGTTACTCATATTTACCCACACCCCACCCAAATTTAAAGACCATCTCAAGAATAGATTTGACTAGTTTACATAGACTATTCAAGATTCCTAGATAATAAAAACATATTTGAGACAAACAAAAAAGAATACATTTGATGCATTGAACACTAACAACCAAAGACCAGACAATTGATCAAGAATATCATATATGAAAAATGCAAAAGGACATTAAAAAGACAAGAAAGAAAAGATCAAAATGAGTGTCAGAAGAGACTCTGAAACTTGCTCTAGAACATAGAGAAGCTAAAGCAAAAAAAAAAAAAAAATTGTCAAAGATCATTAATATCACATGCAAGTAAAATTTTGCTGAATGTAACACAGAAATGGCTGGCTGCAGCAGTACACTAATAAGGAACTACCAGAACTTTAAACTGGGTTTAGAAGAGGCTATGGAATGAGGGATATCACCACTGATAACAGATGGATCTTGGCTGGAAGAAGACAATACCAGAAAGAAGGTTCTTTGTGTTTTACTGACTTTGTAAAAGCCTTTGACTGTGTGGATCGTGACAAGCTACGGATAGCATTGCTAAGAATGGGCATTCCAGAACATTTATTTACGCTCATGCACAACACAGACCAAGAGGCAGTCATTCAAACGGAACAAGAGATACTGAATGGTTTAAAATTAGAAAATGTCTACATCAGGGTTGTACCCTCTCACTATAATTATTCCATTTGTATGCTGAGCAAATAATCTGAGAAGCTTGACTGTATGAAGAATGCAACATCAGGATTGAAGACAGACTCGTTAACAACCCGTGGTATGCTGAAAATAAAGAGGAAGATCACAGATTACAGACTTGTATGAACTATACCTCAATATCAAGAAAGATCCTCACAACTAGACCAGTAAGCAACATCATGATAAATGGAAATAAGGAAAAAAGATTGAAGTTGACAAGGATTTCATGGTGTTTGGATCGACAGTCAACACCCACGGAAAAAACTGTCAGGAAATCAATGACATATTGCATTAGGCAAGTCTGTCGCAAAAGATCTTTATAAAGTGTTAAAAAAACAAAATGTTATTTCAAGGACTAAGCTGTGCCTGACCCAAGCAATGGCATTTTCAGTCACCTCATATGCAGGCAAAAAGCTAGACAATGAGTAAGGAAGACTGAAGAATTGATGCCTTTGGATTATGGTGTTGGAAGACTTTGGATTATGGTGTTGGAAGACGTGCAGCTAGAACGTTCCTTCGAAGTAAGGATGTGGAGACTTCATCTCTTTTACTTTGGATAGAGTATCAGGAGGGACCAGTCCCTGGAGTAGGACATCATGCTTGGTAAAGTCTAAGAGATAAAGAGAAAGCCCCTCAACACTATGGACTGACTCAGTGGCTACAATAATGGGCTCACATACAAGGAACAATTGTGAGGCTAGACAGCACATGATCGGGCAGTTTTCCCTTCTTTCCTGTACACGGCTGCTGTGTGTTGAAACCGCAAGTGAGAGAAGCCAGACATAAAGGCCACATATAATTCCATTTATATGAATTGTTTTTAGGTGCCGTCCATGAGTCAGTTCCGACTCAAAGAGACCCTCTGCGCAACAAAACAAAATACTGCCCGGTCCTATGCTATCCTCACAATTTGTATGCCGGAGCCCACTGCTGCTGCCACTGTGCCAATCCATCTCATTGGTGGGGCGGATCTTCCTCTTTTTTGCTGACCCTCCATTTTATCAAGCATGATGGCCTTCTCCAGGGACTGGTCCCTCCTGATGACAAGTCTGAAGTATGAGAGACAAAGTCTGGCCATCCTCACATCTAAGACTGCACATCTTCCAAAACAGATTGATTTGTTCTTGTGGAAGCCCATAGTACTTTCAATATACTTCACTAACACTATAATAAAATATCCAGAGTTATTTGAAATATCCAATTCCATAAAGACAGAAAGCAGATTAGTGGTTGCCAGGAGCTGGGAAAGAGGGGACTAGAAAGTGAACGAGGGTTCAATGAGCTCAGGGTGTCCTCGTCGGGTGATGAAAACGTTCTGAAACCAGATCATGGCGGTGGCACAATGTTGAGTGTACTAAATGTCACTTGTTAAGTGCTGTTGAGTCGGTTCTGACTCGTAGCAACCCTACACAGGGTTTCCAAGTAGTGTGGCTGCTGAGTTTGAACCACCGACCTTGCGGTTCAAACAGACCTTGCGATCCAGTGCTTATCCCACAGCTCCACACCAGGACTCCAATTGTCAGCAATGGTTTATTTTATGTTTGACGTATTTTTTTTGTTCTATATGTTTTACCACAATTTAATGTGGCTTTGTTTTTTGTGTGTCTTACTGGCCTAGCTGAGACTGGAGAACTCCCAAAGACTGTTGTTGTTATTACCCTGCGACACTCTTCAAACCTTGAACTAAAACTAACCCGAGGTCATCTTATAAGACTAAGTAACAAACAGGCTCAAAAAATAATGAATGTCACGCTAAGAACTGAGTTCTTTAAAAAAAAATTCACCTTTATGAACTACTATGTAAGTCTCTACCTTAAGCATAATAAATTTATTATTATATTTTTTATCACACAATTACTTTAAAGCACAGACAGGAATGTGAGGAAGCAGGAAAACTGGATGAGGACAAACAGAACAGGAAGGAAAAAGGCGAGAATGTTCACGCATGGGAAAGAACGTAACTGATGTCACTGAGCAACCGGCATAGAACTTGTTGAATGGGAACATGAACTGCTGTGTAAACCTTTACCAAAAACACAATAAAATATGACTTAAAAAAAAATATATATATATGACTTAAAAAGAAAAGCTAATGGTGCGGTGTAGTGAATTCTTCACTGTCTCTTCTAACCATGTTGTTGTTGTTGTTAAGTGCCGTCAAGTCGGCTCCGACCCATAGCGACCCGGTACAGGGTTTCCGAGGGTGTAAATCCTTACGGGAGTAGAAAGCCTCATCTTTCTCCCGCGGAGCGGCTGGTAGTTTCGAACCGCTAACCTTAAGGTTCACAGCCCGATTCGTAACCACTACGCTACCAGAGTCTTTGTAAACTCCCACTCAATGACTCCTTGCTGGTAGGTCTGGGAAGGAGAAGGTGGAGGAAGATGCTGGTAGATGATATGATTCACTTGTGATTGTTAACAGGCTTGGGATGATAAACACTTGGGAATCCAATGGGAGGACTGGTCAGTGTTACCATCCAGCTGAGTTTAAAACAAGCCATCTGAGAAGCAGAGAAGGATCCTCGATCTCACTAGCAACCAAGAAGAACCAGAAGCAGAGTGTGTCCTTTGCACCCAGAGACCCCTCCCTGCACATTGAAACTCCTTGATCCAGGGACAGAAAAAAACTATGACACCAGAGAAGTGGCAGAGAAGCAGCCGGCTTCCCAGCCCAGGGCGCCAGTACAGCTTAGTGACTTGGGCAGGAGGCTTGCTTGCAGAAGAGGGCTCCTCCAGGCACATAACTGGGGGAGCTTGGTTTGGTGACCCACGGAGCGAGAGCTGAGTGCCTTTGGGCTAAGGCTTAGGGTGGAGCAGTTTGCTCTGTGAGCATTTATCAGCAGCCAAGGTAGAGAGAGGCCGGCCTGTGGGCACCGCTTAAGAGAGACTGTCAGGGCTGGAAGCATTGTGCCCTGGGCATTTCTGACCCTGAACTGTAGCCTGTTAACCTCCCTAGTAAACCCCGTAACTCTGAGTCTTGTCTCTGTGTGGCGTGACCACTGCACTGAATTGTGGAACCTAACTGTAGACAGGGTTGTCGGAGGGATGGTTGGTGTCAGGTTTGTTTTTTTTTTTGCATATAGAAAAAAATGTCTTAATCAGGAAAATGAGCCCCTCAAACATCAAGACTTATGGGGTCAACACAACCATGATAACTGAGTCAGACCTTGTCGGGCTGGGAGGCGTTGGGCGGCTGCTGGAACGTGAGTAGGTGCAGGCCAGGAAGGAAGCTTTGAGTAACACAGGCCTCCAGGGAGGTGACGAAGACAGGCGCTGGCCCCCACCAGCCCACAGTGCCTGAGATCTGCTCCCCACGGCAGCGGGCCTGCTCTGTTGGGAGAGTAGGGAGGCGGTCAGGGCCAAGTGCTGCCCTCCCCGCCCTCCCCTCCGCTGGACACTCACCGGGTCGTGGGAGGCAGCTCTCGTTATGCACACACCACCCTAGGGTGCCGGGTCCCCGGGGCGGGGTTGCGGGGCTGCTGAAGGCCAGACAGGCCTGGCAGTCCCCCAGGAGGCGGCCCAGACCCAGGCAGCTGGCAGCCGGGCACTGCAGGGAGGAGAAAGGGCAGATTCCCTGCTCACCACAGCTCCAGGGGTCCGTGAAGGGCTGCAGATCCAACATCCCAGGGCAGAATAGACCAGATATTAAAGGATGAAGAGCTGAAGGCGGGGTTGGGATGAGGGAGACCCAGAGGACAGGATTGAGGGTCCAGGGACAGCGGCCTCAGTTCAAAATGATCTCAGGGGGCCAAAGGATCAGGGGTCAGGAATGAGGCTCTTAGATATGAAAACCTGTCTCCCAGCTGGGGGAGGAAGGGGCTTCTCTACTTGGGTGCAGGGTCTCTGAGAAGGTTCAGGAAAGTCACTCACAGCCCCTGAGGGGGTCCCAGGAGGAGGTGCAGCTTGGCAGGCCCCCTGACACCAGCTGCATTCGGGGTCTCGGGAGCAGACGCTGTGGTCTGTGTACATGGAGCAATAGTCCAGGTGGTACTGTAGGGGACAGGGAACAAGATGGGGGTACTCAGACCAGGGCCTGCCTCCTCAGCCCCACCCATGGCCATTGGAATGAATCAATTCCAACTCGTAGCATACTAAGTCTCTATGGGAGCAGACAACCTCAGCTTCTCCTTGCGGAGCAGCTAGTGGGGTTTAACCTTATAGTTAGCAATCCAGTGCTTACCCTACAGCACCAGCAGGGAACCCTGATTGAGGAGCACCTTAAAGGCCTCCATCCGCCCCTCCCTGGCCCCAGGGATCTCCATCCCGCCTCCTTTAGATCTGGGGACCTCCCCCCTAATACTTCTTTCCTCGAGCCGCCTCCACCCCGTTATGGTCTTCCTATCACCCTAGTACTCACATCTGGCGCAGGTGCCTGGAACACAAAGGGGGGCACTTTGTAGGCCATCAAGTCCCCACGGGGCCGGCCACTGTAACCCCCAGCCACCAACAGGACACTACCACCAAGCACAGCTGCCACATGTGAATAGCGGCCACTGGGAGGTGCTGCTCGGCCTAGGAGAACAGACACCCAGGAGATTCAGGCCCCCAGCCCCTACCAGGGCCTCCCCTGCCTGCTGGGGGCTGATGGTGACTTCCTAACCCTCAACCCCACCTGCCTGAGGGAACCCACCCAGGCTGCTCTACTTCTCTTCCCTCTGCACACCACACTCCTGCAAAGTAATCAGACAGAGCATTATCTCTGGGGTCCAAAAGATGTGACTTCACCAAGATACAACCACTGGGTCTCTTACTTGTCAGGAGCAAAAGAGTTAAGAAGTTACCAATATCTCAGAGAGGTAAACAAGGCTACGAGACTGAGAACCTACCCGAGCCATAACCCCATCAACCCTGAGACCAAAAGAAGGAGAGGGCGCCCATTCTGACTGGGATCACAATAGATGGTCCTAGATAGAACGGGAGAAAAATATAGAACAAAACTCAAGTTATTTTTAAAAAGAGGTCACTCTAACTAAGACCAGCTAAGATTAGAGAACTCCCTGAGACTGTTTTTTGCCATCCAGTCGATTCCCATTCATAACAATCCTGGGTAGGTTTCTGTAGCTGTCAGTCTGTTACCGGCACAGAAAGCCTCATCTTTCTCCCATGGAGCAGTTAGTGGATTTGTACTGCTGACCCTGCGGCTAGCAACCCAATGAGTAACCCACTACACCACCAGAGCTCCTTCCCTGGAGAAAAAAAAAAAAAAATCCAAACCCACTGCCATCGAACCGATTCCAAAATACAGCAATGGTATTTCTGAGGCTGTAAATTTTTATGGAAGCAGAAAGTCTCATTTCTCTCCCATGTAACAGCTGGTGGATTTGAACCGCTGACCTTGCAGTGAACAGCCCAACGCCCTATGCTGTAAGAGTGTGGGTCTTGGCCCACAGTGAATCACAGGCAGAGAAGGCGGAAGATACTTGGTAGAAACCTCCCACTCTAGCCCAGAGAGGGGACCTAGGAAACACACAGGGAGAGGGTCCTGAGGCTGGGGGTGTCAAAAGCCAGGTCTGGGCTTTATCCCTAACAAGTCATCCAGGCTCTTTTGAGGTCCTCCCTCCAGCCTACTCCTTAAGTGTTAACATTCCTTCCTTATTCCTGGCCTGTGTCTCCTTTTTGAAGCCACACAAATGGGCCTCTGGGAGATCCATGGCCCCCTGAGATGAAATGCCCAGTGTGAGTGCAAGTGTCTTTCTGGGGAGAGGGCCTGTGCCTCTCATCTGCTTCACAAAGCAGTCTCTGATCTGTAGAGTTAGAGTGGATTCTCCACACCCCTCCCTGGAGAGGGCTCTGCCCTCTGGCCAAGCAGGACCCTCGCTGCTGGTAGGAAAACAACATGCTAAGCCTGGCTGGGCTCACACACCAGCTCAATCGACTCTCACCATGGGCCCTGGCTTCAGGGGCATTCTAAGCTCCATCCTAAAGACAGGGAGACTAAATAACAGATTTGTTGTGCTTTTAGGCGTCGTCCAGTCAGTTGTGACTCCAGGTGACCCTAATTATAACACTGCCCACTGCCCGGGTCCTGTACCACCCTCACAACCATTGCCATGTTGGTGCCCATGGTAGCCGCCACTCGGGCAATTCATATCTCGTTAGGGGTCGTCCTCTTTTTGGCCGACCCTCTACTTTACCACGCATGGTGTCCTTCTCCAGGGACTGGTCCCTCCTGATGACATGTCCAAAATACAAGAAACCAAGTCTCACCGGAGAACTTAAGTGCTGGGTTTAGACAGATGGTTGCTTGGGCCCAGCCGTCCTATGCTACTATGCTCACTGTATGACCCTGGACTGGTCATTACTCAGGCAGTTCCCTGGGGCAGCTGGAAACTGCCAAAACCTGGATTGGTGCCTGGATCAGACAGGGCTAGAATAGCCTCCCATCACTATGGTAACAGTATCCCAGTCAGGCCAACAGCCCATGTTTGCCTCTTGAGGCCCACCGCTCCACGGGGCTGTCTGACTCACTCCGATGGGAATCTCGGGAGCCCCTTGGGGAAGCACAGAGGACCACTCTTACCCTCAGGGGTCCCGGGTGGGGCAAGCTCAGCCCCTGACACCCACTGATGGCAGCCCAGATGGTAGAAGAAGATGCCGTCTTCGTAGCACTTTTCCTCCTGGTAGTGGGTATGCACATTGCCCCCTGGGGATGGAGGAAGGACAGGGACCATGGGCAGGCCT